TGAATCACCGACTCAAATCCTTGCATATAATCTTTAACATTGGATCAGCAGGTAATAAACGGCGTAGCTCAAATTCATTATATTCGGTCCCTGGTAAAAAAACGAAATAAGGATTCCAAATATATATAGTAAAATTATATTAGAATTTATAAATTGACTATTTGTGACTGCAGGTAAGGGTGATACTATTTCATCAAAACTGTCTAATCTTTTTTACCCGTATATCTACCTAAATTATTTAGCTGTATTTATTTATCTGTATTATTACCTAAATTATTTAGCTGTATTTATTTACTTGTATATCTACCTAAATTATGTAGCTGTATTTATTTATCTGTATATCTACCTAAATTGTTTAGCTGTATTTATTTATCAGTATATCTAGCTAAAGTATGTATCTGCATTTATTTATCTGTGTGTCTACCTCTAAATAAATCTAATACATATTTTTTATGCATTTTTTTATTTGTTTGTAAACTTAAATAACCCTAATAAAGTGTTTATGCATTTATCTGAATGTCTTATACTTAAATCATCCAATTATAGCGTTTATGTACATATATTTATTTATCTAGACATCTACTTAAATACACCTTATAGTCTAACATCATAAAGAAAATAGTTCTCTTGAAACTGAATAAGGCACGATTAATAATAATGTTTAATCTGTATTATCTATATCATAGATATAATATAGTGTTTATGTATTTATCTGTATGTATACATAAATAAAGCTATTTATCTGTTCTATACATCTATCTGTTTGTGTGCTATAATGAACCTATATGAATATAGGTTTCTCTGTCTATCTATCCATATATCTGTAAATCTAAATGAGCCTATGTGTATATGTATTGTATATATATGAAAGTTAAATCCCTATACAGTGAATAGAGGAAAGTGACACCCCTCGACCCAAATCTGTACCAGGCACCCAAACATACTGTCATCGTCATTTACATACATACGCACTAGAACATACGAACATACAGACAAAAGCCGAACAAGTACGTCCCAACCATATGCTCACTTGTACATATTATATATAGTTTCACAGTACATACACACACCCTTACATACAAAACACTAGGTAAAACAGATACTCAAGCATTAAGTGTCTAAAAAATGTCAATTAATGCAACCATCCATGTAAGAATATATGGCTCTGCTTCTAAAAATGTATTTCAGAATCCTGTAAAATTCAAAATCTATCAAAACGTTGTGCTTGCTAAGTTTTGCTCTGAATGATTAGATAGTATTCCTATATATCTATGGTCTCTGTATGTATTAGATAGTATTCCTATATATCTATGGTCTCTGTATGTAATAGATAGTATTTTCCTATATATCTATGGTCTCTGTATGTAATAGATAGTATATTCCTATATATCTATGGTCTCTGTATGTAATAGATAGTATATTCCTATATATCTATGGTTTCTGTATGTATTAGATAGTATATTCCTATATATCTATGGTCTCTGTATGTAATAGATAGTATATTCCTATATATCTATGGTCTCTGTATGTAATAGATAGTATATTCCTATATATCTATGGTCTCTGTATGTATTTGTACACGACTACCCGTCAAAATTCCCATTTTAACCTTTCAACCTTGAGTTTACTAAGGATATAAATACAAAACAGAAAACAAAATAAGATAAACAGATGGATAGATAAATAGATAGGTAGGTATACATGTATGTAGATTTACATGGAGATAGATAGATATCTAGATAGATAAACAGACAGATAGATATATATATTCAATTTATTATTCAATAAAAAAAAAACAGATAAACATCCTCATACACAATGTTTCACGGACCAATTGACATCTTCAGTGAGGTCTGTTCTCGATTGCAGAATATTCCAGTATTTTTGCCGTTTGCGTATTTTCAGGAAAGAGTTGGCGGATTCGTGTTATTTGAATTTAAAAAACCCACCAATTCATCAAAAGCTCTTTATCTCGGTGTCGGCATTTTTTGAGAATTTCTATTCTTTTTTGTTCAAAAAGTTTTCTTTATTTTCTATGATAATCAACGTTTTTTTCCATCATACAAAGCTGGCAGGATCTAGTTATCTTCTTATATGTTGGTGCCAATGCTCTGATACTCCAGGTAATTGGGAAAGGTGTATTCTGCTCCTTCAGCTTGGAGAGAGATGTACTATGTGGCATGTGCCTGTTCTTTATGGTTAAAGGAGGATTTAAGGTTGGTTAATCTTGACTTAAAGGTGATTGAAGCTAAACCAAGATAATGTTTTTCCTCATTTCCTGTTGTTTTAACAGTTGCCTTGTAAACCAAAGAATCTGTTAAACATTTTCCATCCAATAGGCAAGCAGCTTCACCACCTTTACAGTTTCAAGCTTTCTCTTTCATTGTGTTCTGTTTGTTTAAAACCTTCATCTTGTTGTGTCCAATGATGATCTTAACCATATTTTGCAGCTGTAGCTTACTTTTATAGTGTTTCTATTGAAGTATTTATTGAGAGGGGAGCCACCTGAAAATGTTTGTAAACCCAGAGCAGAAACTTATGAGCAACATTTGTAACAACTTTAGTCTTATAGGAAGGATTGAACCAAATAATTCTCCTTCTTTTTCTGCACTTCTGTATGCCGAGTTCATTAGCGCCTGATCCAATCAGGGTTCAGTCATGTGTTTGGTGTCTATTCTGAACCAATAGAAACTGCATGGCGGTAACATCTTTCTATCTATCTCATCATCCAATTAGAGCTAAATCCTTATTGCAGCGCTATACACTAAATGGAAATATTTTCTTCTACTGAAACTATAGTGTCTGGGAACTGATAGGTTACTGGATTCAGCTTTGTATTAAAGTTGTTGATTGTATCCAACATGTCTGAGTTCATCACTGTAAATAGGTAATTCATTATCAAAGGTCTCATCACTGCTTGACAGGGTAGAAAATCTCTTGCTTATCATGTCAGGTAGTAGTTTTGCCATGGTTAGGGGATGGTTAGATTGTATGTTTATATATGAAGGTTTGTCATTATCTTTTCTGTAGGGTTTGAAAGTGCCATTAACCAGTTTAAGACCAACGTCCAAAAAGTTGTGATTTTGATATTAGGTTCTATAGTGATGTTAGGGCTGTTGTCTTGAAAGAGTTTAGTAATCTTTTTCCTCAATCTTTCAACATCTGGTCCATGTAGATCAACAACTCTTATTCCATCATATCTCTGTACAATCCAAATTTTGTGTGGGGAATAACAAGTTCTATTTGGTTAAGTACATATAAGCCGACTAATTTAGAACATTCTGCTCCATCCCAGGATCCCATTGAGACATCAAAATCATGGTTCTCTTTCTTTATCCGAGGAGTTTTATCCAGGAAATGAAAGTTTTTTTTACTGTGTAAAATTATGTCTATGTCATTAGGATTCACAACTATTATAGATTTGGCAAAGTCTAATGCACTAGTGAACAGCTTGAGAGCAATGCTTGGGTAGAAGTTGACAATGTCAAATTTGATAAAAGACAGGTCTCTTTATTGTCTATGCCTCTAAACCATTCAAGAACTGACTGTGTACTTCTCCATATGTTAGAATTAGACTTTTTTAGGATCTAGATGTTGATTTTCTCCAGAATCTTTGGAAACATAAAAACTTGAAAACTTGAAAACTTGAAAACTTGAAAATAAATCTCCCTCTCTCCAGAGAACCTTACCTTTATCAAACGTTCCATTTCGAGACCCTCCCTGCTTTAATCCAACAATCATATGTATATAAATATAACTGTATATATATAAGTAAAATTAGACAAATAGGCAGATGGATTAATAGAGATAGATAGATATTTATTTAAGGAAATATAGATAGACCGAAAAATTGACACACAGATAGACAAATAGACAGATGGATAAATAGATAGTAAGATATATATGTATATATATATATATATTTATATCTTATATATATATATATATATATATATAGACAGATAGACAGATAAACAGATAGATAGATGGACAGATGGATGACTAGATAGATATATAGTTAGATAGATAGATAGATAGATACCCATCTAACAGGCAGCGGCGTCTTTGTGGTTTAAGACGCTTTGCTTGGGAACCGTTTCTTAGTATACAGATAAACCTTGAAGTGATACCATTCATTCATTAGTTCATCCATCCTCTCATCCATCCACCCTTTCACCCTTCCATGTTCTTAACCATATATACTTTCACCCTTCCATGTTCTTATCCATATATACTTTACCCTTCCATGTTCTTATCCATTTATACTTTCACCCTTCCATGTTCTTATCCATATATACTTTCACCCTTCCATGTTCTTATCCATATATACTTTCACCCTTCCATCCTTTCACCCTTCCATACTTTCACCCTTATTCACTCATCCATCCATCCTTTTATTCATCTGCGTCTAGCTATGTTTGTTTAGACTATTTTTATTCAGACCTTGCGTGACTATGGTTATTCAGACCTAAAAAAAAACATTTTTAAATGACACTAACTTTGTTTGTAGTCATTTAACCAAACTTTCCAGAACTTATTTTGTGTAATCTGCTTAAAATTTTCTTTCTAAATATGTAATTGTTTTTTCTTCAATATTGCAAAGCTCTAAAAGCCATTTATGGTGAATAAATTCTGATTAAGAGTCTGTGAAAACTTTGCAAATAATTGTAAACTTCAGGTCCTAAAAGTCATCCTTTGGTGAACCTATCATGAACCATGACAGCTATGACAGCTTGTTGGACTCTTTCATCCTTCCAACCATCCTTTCTCTTATCAATTCTTTTATCTTTATAATACATGATTCACATGTTTAGTTATCTAATATCTATCCTTAGTCTTAGTGTGGGTTTAATTAACATTTTCTAAAGGGGGAAAATGCAGCCGGGCGGCATATGATATTTCCAGGGGGGGGGGATAATTTATAATTATTTAGTTATTGCGCGCGAAGTGCAACCCCCCCCCCTCTCCCTCCCATTTGTATAATCTTGAAGGAGCTAAAGGACATTTCAGACAAGAATGGGGTTCAAACTGTTTTCAAGGACAGCTTTGATTACCCTATGGACACTTCTTTTTTTCTCAATCTCAGTTAGGTAAATATTATTTTTAAATATTTCAATATTTTGTTGGGACGTTTAAAGGGAACAAGTAAAAATATATCACAAGGTTAAATTTAACATAAATTTTAATTGCAATTTATTGTGATTTTCATGTCTATCAAGAAATTTAGTGGGTAAAAAGGTGATTCCACATTTTACACAAACAGTCAATGAATATAAATACTATTTTTGAACAACTGCGCCACTTGTTCTACACTGTTCTATTAAACTTGAGATATATACATCTATATATATACTTTGCTTGTCTGTTTGTTTGTATCCAATAAACGTCAAACCGGCTAAAACTATCTAGGGTCTACATTTTTTGTGGGACCTCACAAGACCCCAGGAAAGGTTTATGAATGATCAAAATCTCAGAAACTTGCCTCCAACTAAATTCAATTTCCATTAAATTTTGAAAATCCAAGAAATTTTTTTAATATTTTTAATTTTTTGTTTTGTTTTACAATGTACACAAAGAGATAATGTTTACAATTGAATCAGAAATGGGCGCGTAACGCGCTGAAAGCCTAGCAGTATCCATAAATTTTGAAAGTAGTGAATGTATTATATGCTTGTTTTTAAGTAATTTGTCATTAATTGATTAATTGATTGATTCATTGAATTGCATTTAGAAGCGAAGACGACTGTCCTGAGTTTGAATGCCCCGCTAAAGATGGTTCTTTTGCAGATCCCTGTACATGCAGAAGGAAATGTCAATAATAAACCGTATTCTAGCAATATTAACCATTCTGTTAGTAGAATATTTTCACAGAAGAAATAAATAAATGGATTATTCTTTAAAACTAATAAAGGTTTTAGAAACAATTATTTGAGGCCATTTAAACACCGCCATCTTGCTAAAATTAAATATTTGACTTGTGGAGATTTTATCAATGTGTTGAGTTCTTTCCATACAAGAACTTCTGCCCTTCCAACCTTTACTGGGACGATATCAAGTAAGTTTGATCAATATAATTATTCTTAAAATTAAACCAAAAAATCAAGAATATATATGTTAAAACCAACATAAAAGTTCTATTTCTTTGCCAGAAAACTATGTACCTTCAAGAACGAGGCTGTTTGTGGTCCTGTTACCACAACTCCTGCCCCCTCTACCACGCCACCTCCTGACACGGTAAATAAAATGCTGTGGTCATGTTACCACAACTCCTGCCCTCTCTACCACGCCACCTCCTGACACGGTAAATAAAATGTTGTGGTCATGTTACCACAACTCCTGCCCCCTCTACCACACCCCCTCCTGAAACGGCAAAGAAAATGCTGTGGTCATGTTACCACAACTCCTGTCCCCTCTACCACACCATCTTCTGACAAGGTAAAGAAAATTCTGTGGTCGTGTTACCACAACTCCTGCCCACTCTACTACGCCACCTCCTGACAAGGTAAATAAAATGCTGTGGTCATGTTTCCACAACTCCTGCCCCCTCTACCACACCAACTTCTGACAAGGTAAATAAAATGCTGTGGTTATGTTACCACAACTCCTGCCCCCACTACCATACCATCTCCTGACAAGATACATAAAATTCTGTGGTCCTGTTTCCACAACACTTGCTCCCTATATCACACCAAGCCTCCTGACAAGGTGAGTAAAATTGTGTGGTCCTGTTACTACAACTCCTGCCCCCTATACCACACCACGCCTCCTGACAAGGTGAGTAAAATTGTATGGTCCTGTTACCACAACTCCTGCCCCTTCTACCATACCGCCTCCTGACAAGGTGAATAAAATTGTGTGGTCCTGTTAACACAACTCCTGCCCCCTCTACCATACCACCTCCTGACACGGTAAATAAAATAGTGTGGTCATGTTACCACAACTCCTGCCCCCTCTACCATACCGCCTCCTGACAAGGTAGATAAAATAGTGTGGTCTTGTTACCACAACTCCTGCCCCCTCTACCATACGCCTCCTGACAAGGTAAATAAAATAGTGTGGTCATCTTACCACAACTCCTGCCCCCTCTACCATACCACCTCCTGACACGGTAAATAAAATAGTGTGGTCATGTTACCACAACTCCTGCCCCCTCTACCATAACGCCTCCTGACAAGGTAAATAAAATAGTGTGGTCATGTTACCACAACTCTTGCTCCTTTTGCCACACCATCTTCTAAATAGATACATATACCATTTCCGTACACGATTTTTTATAGATATATGCTGACAAGGTTATAAAAATAACTTTATTATTTTTAGGCAAATACATGTGATATCTCTGCCTGTCAGGTTATTATTTATTCATTTAATTTTGAGTATAATGATGATAATAATTAAAATAATAATGATAATAATAATAATTTCCTGTTTGCAGCTTCCTTACTGTTTCTGTTCCTCTGATGGTACCCAGATACCGGGAGGGTTAAACAAAGAAGATATTCCTCAGGAACATTTTCCATCCAGGAGCTTTGTCTCTTTACAGAGTGTTCCGCATCATATTTAGATTTTAGACCTGAAAACAGAATTGAATATTTAGAAATCTCTATATTTTTTGCTGGTAACAAGTTAGAAAATCTTTTTAATAATTACCAAACTGGGGCTAAGAATTCCAAAATTTGTAATAAAATAGTTTTGAAGCTGATTGAAGCTGAAGGCTTATTGATGAAATGTGTAGATGGTTATGCTAATGTTGGATGGGGCAGTTAATACAAACAATTTTGATGATTATAAAAAGTAAGTTATTTACTCTCATCCATTTCATGGTCACCCAGAAATCAGACCTTTCTCGGGATAAAGCATTTGATCTCTAACTACTGAATAGTTCAATTTCTCTTCGAAGATTAAAAGATTAACGAAAGTCCACACACAAATTTTGACCTCAGGTTTTTTAGGTTATTTTTTTGCAGGTAAAATTGTTTTTAAAGGCCCAATAAAAAAAACATAAAAAATATTAATAATTAAGAAAATACAGGTTTAAAAAAAAACTTTAAAAAGTAGTGGAACAAAAAAAGCTAACTTAAAAATTTTTTTTTTTTAAATGTTAAAATATATCTATCCCTAGTTTATGTTTCAGATTATTCCGAGAGCGCACAAACCCTAACGGCTGTAAAGTAAAGGAAAGGGTTTCAGCTTTAACAACATTTTTTTTCTGAAAACAATGAAATAATAATTTGAATTAGTATTATTCTTCACATGGTCAGTTTAGGTTGAAACCCTTGAACCCTTGATCTCAGGGAACATTCTTCATCACACATCATTATTCAAAGAATTCTAAGTAAGTACGTAGTTAATTAATTATTTATGAAATATCAAAAAAAAAAAAAATTTAGCGTTTAAGGAGAAAATATTTGAAAACCTTCAAAAATAGAGATTGTGGGAATTCTAAAAAATTTAAAATATAGAAATAAAAGGAAAAGGAAAGAAAAGAAAAGTAAAAGGAAAGTTACATATTTAACGTTTACATTATATTTAATATAAACTAGTGGTGGATTGTCAGCGTTTTTCGACGATGAACTAACAACTTTTAGAAATAAAAATGATAGATTTATCTGTAATGTTTAAAAAAAGTAAAATAGGCTTGAAGGTTGTGAAAATATATAGGTTTAACGCAAATAGGGCATTTTTAAGCATCTTTTTAATTCGCGGCGATTTTTGACATCCTTTATGTTTAATCTTACTCTTTTTTAGTATTTTCTTTGAAAAATCGTCTTTGCTTTCTTCGATATTTTTACAAACATAGCAAACATGTTAGAATTAATACATTTGTTCTGCTGATAAAAATCTTCAATCAAATTCTGTTCAAAATTTGAAATAAGATTGACATTTAAAAACTTGGAAAAGTGTCCTTTATTTTCATACCATATTTCTATTCTTGGCTTAGTTCACCTTTCAGCTTAGTAAATTCCAAAGTTTGTTGGATTGATTGGGTAAACACGTATTTCAGTAATTCTTCATCTTTGTATTCCTTTGTTATATGCAACCCCTTGATACGGATACTTTGTTATTTACAACCCCTTGATACGGATACTGAAGTTCCTCTGAGTAAAGGGCCGGGAGGGGAGGGGCCAGGGCACTCTGCTCTTGTTTATTGATTATTAACAAAATTACACGTATTAAGCTTGATTTTGGAATCTTTCTGGATCTTTAATGTTGTTGATGGTGTTTTAAAAATTATGTTTTCTCATTGTTCTCGCCAAACACTAATTAAGTCATTAGAAACAAATTTCAAGTTTAAGGCACGGGCAGCCATAGTACATTTAATTTCCAAGCCGGGTCAACCTTTCCGGTCCCAGTTTGTACTGTGTCGCCCGGACATTGGGTAAATAAAGCAGACACTCAATAGGACTAGCCGGTGCAACAAGGTTGACGCGGTCAGACTTTAGTTTTAATTTACTTCTACTATAGGGTCGGAGGTGCGTTAAGGGAGGTTATCTGCATACGTGCTCGGGTGCACCCTAATGCACATGTTCAAAAAAGCTGAACTATATACAATGTTACCTGCACTGTAACAAATTATCTGAACAAGCCCTTTAAAGGGACTGTAGTCGTTATTTATAGTGACTCTTCATTAATAAAGTGGCATATCTGATTCACAACGGTACCTTAAAAAGATTTGTCTCTCTTTAAAAATTCATAATGTTCTATTGTGCTTTGTCTATAAAAGTGACTTGCGCAATTCTCCTGAAGGAATAATGAAGGAATTCAATATTTTTGTCATTTTTAAGCTACATAGACAAACGACGATATCTTTCAAATTATTGATCAAGGATACCGATGTAAATCTTAAAATGGAGAGTCAGTTGAAAAGACGATCTCAGTCCCTTCATGAACAAAATTTCATTTTTATTTTTTTCTGATTTACTCAACTTCTATTATCTCTTATTAATAAGTTGATATTTTCTAGATCGAGGTTTTGAAAAACGATGGACATGAAATTGCAGTGAGTAGTATTTCAGATGATTCTGGTAATTCGGTTTGGATTTAATCTATATTCGGTTTGGATATATTTAATCTATATTCGGTTTGGATATGTTTAATCTATATTCGGTTTGGATATATTTAATCTATATTCGGTCTGGATATATTTAATCTATATTCGGTTTGGATATATTTAATCTATATTCGGTTTGGATATATTTAATCTATATTCGTTTTGGATATATTTAATCTATATTCGGTTTGGATTTAATCTATATTCGGTTTGGATATATTTAATCTATATTCGGTTTGGATATATTTAATCTATATTCGGTCTGGATATATTTAATCTATATTCGGTCTGGATATATTTAATCTAAATCTAATTTACGTTTTATCTCACACATCTTTATTTACATCATATCTACACTGTAAGAATAATTTCAAGTGACCCTCCATGCGGAGATGTCAATGCCCGATTAAAAAGTGTTCCCTAAAAAGCCTTGTCTAATCAAATATGAATTAGAACTCCATGTTTTTCTTATGAACAGAGTTTTTTTTATTTGAGGTTTCTCCGAAAAACGAATTTATCCCTCACAGTTTTATCAGATTAGGGGTTCAAGGGTACTGTTGTGAATCGGACATTGCAGATTTATGCATTTATACTTAAAATCAAGTTTACCGTTCCTTTACACACATTTTTAACCCTATTCCCGCTGGGGGGGGGGTAAATTTGACCCCCCCCTGTAGTTTTTTTTACATAACTCAAAAAGTATTGGTCTGAGGCTGTTGAAATTTTCTGACTTTTCTTACATACCCAAAGCCCTCCCTTTAGGCCTAAAACCGGGCTTTAATACTATCTGCCTGAGTCCTCAGGCACACTGCCTGAATGACTGCTTTTGCCTGTAACAAACTAAATCTTTGTTTTGACCCAGTTTCACTTGTCAGATTTTGATAAAATTTAGCTTTTTGGAAAGCCTATGACATAAGGAAACGGATTGCACAAGTTTTGCGAAAAAAAATTGCAATTTTTTTGCAAACAACCTGTCAAAGGAAATTTGCACATTTTTAGTTTTTCTTGATTAAAAATCAGGTTAATTAAAATTTTGCAAAAATTTTTGCATATTTGAAATGGCATGGTCAAGGGCTTTTCAAAAATGTATAATTTGTCATTTTTTGGACAAATTTTTTTTTGCAAACATTTTTACTATAAAACTGGATTTTGCGATAAAAAATTCAATTTTCGCAAATTTGCAAATTTTTTTGCAGATTCTAAAAGTAGAGCACAAGAGCTTTCTAATGATGTATCATTTGTCATATTTGGACATAAAACATGGGATTTAGAGGGGGGGGTCAAATTGACCCCCCCCCCTCAGCGTATCATGGTTTTCAAGTACCCCAGCAGGGATAGGGTTAAAAACTTTGAAATTGAATTTTGGAAATGATACCATTAAGGTCACATAGCAACTTTTCAAAACTTAAGCTATGCAATTTTCTTTGGATTTTTCAAATATCCTTTTTCAGGTTTTTTTTTTAATTTTACAAATCTTAATTTGCTTGACGAAAATTTATTAGTGTAGATAGAATTGGTTGTTATAGCTAGAATGTTAATGCTAAATGCTAGAATGTTAATGCTAAATGCTAGAATGTTAATGCTAAACGTATTTGTAAAAACTTTTTATATTAATTGAACATCTTTGAGTAGGAAACAATATTTTTTATTTTTCAAATCTTTTATTTTACAACAATTTCGTTTCCATAGGTTTGTATTTGAAGAATGCTAGCAGTTGGATTGATGAATTGGTCGGAATGAGAACTTTACTGACTCAACAAGTTGATTTAGGGTAAACAATAATAATTTATAAATAAAATCATATTTTTCCATAACTTCTTATTTTCTTCTTTTCTCCTTTATTTTTAATTTCTCTCGTTCTCCCCGTTTCTACTTTTTTACACTTATTGCTCCTACTTTTTCTCTTTTTCATGCCTAATTTCTTATGTAATATTCCATTTCTACCTTTTCTCTTCTAAGTCTTCTCCCCCCACCCACCTCCCAAGCCCACACCCCCAACCTGACTTACTTAAAAATTCTCACTCTTTGGTTTTTTAATCTTCTTTGAATTGAGTTAGCTAACGTTTGATTTCAATTGACGATGCATTAAACCTTTAAATTCTTACAATTTCCTTCGTTAGTGTTGTCGCGTCAATTCAAATGACACATTTTCAGAGAAACCTCAATTGAAAACGGTCAATTTTCAGATAATAAATAGGGATAATACAGACAATGGGTACTAGCTGTTGTAAATCGGACATGCCACTCAATAAATGGAGGGTCAATTAAAATTACGCATTCAATCTCTTATATTTATATTATAGAGTTGAGGATATCCTTGGAGCCAGAGCACCAGGACTCAAACCTGGATTTAATGATCAGGTTCTACTTTATTCGACCTTAGTTCTACATACAGGAATTGAGTTTTTGCTACAAAGTATGATTTTTTAATCCCTATATCCTTGCAACCCAATTTCGTAGACCTTAGATATTTCAAAAGATGACTTTTGTTGGATCAAATGATCTCAGTTTGAACTATCAAAGGTTTCCACCACCAGGTTGTAAAGATATTGTGATTTAACAATTTGAGTTTGTAACAAAGACTCAATTCCTTTAGATGATGAATGATGAATAATGAATGATTAATAATGAATGATGAATGTTGAATGATGAATGATGAATGATGAATGATGAATGATGAATGATGAATGATGAATGAATAATGATGAATGATGAATGATAAATGATGAATTATAAATGGTGAATGATAAATGATGAATGATGAATGAAGAATGATGAATGATGAATGATGAATGAAGAATGATGAATGATGAATGATAAATGATAAATGATAAATGATGAATGATGAATGATGAATGATGAATGATAAATGATAAATGATGAATGATGAATGAAGAATGATGAATGATGAATGATGAATGATGAATGAAGAATGATGAATGATGAATGAAGAATGATGAACGATGAATGATGAATGATAAATGATGAATGATGAATGATGAATGATGAATGATGAATTATGAATGATGAATGATGAATGATGAATTATGAATGATAAACAATGCATGATGAATGATGAATGATGAATAATGAATGATGATTTATGTATGATTAATGTTGAATGATGAATAATAAGAGATGCATGAAGAATGATAAATGGTGAATGATGAATATCCTAGTACACTGCTATGATTGAGTATGGATTTATCTGGGATAGCTCTGTATCTGCTCTACCATTGGCTACTCCTGTCTGGCCGTACACACTAGACTATAAGTAAACTATTTTCTCTATTCTAATTGGTGCAAACTAAAGAGATTGTAGACGTCACTTTCTCACATTAATAACAATGACATGCTTTATTAAATAAAAAAATATGCATATTTGGGCCATTTTCTTAATTTTTATCGTGTAAACTCCGCAAATGATGCATGATGCAGCAGTCTTTGATGCTTACTAGAAAGAATTAAAGGGTATTTTTTTTAATCGTCGAATCTTCTAGATTTTTCGATTCAACTTTGACAATATGTTATACCTTAAATTGCTTATTTTGGAAAATTAAACTTTTTCAGAATAATAATTAGATTAGCCGCGCCAAACCTTGGAAAAAACAATCATGCATAAAAGTTTATAATGTAAACAACACCATTTGTAAAAAAAAGTATCTTTTTTAATAATATTTTATTCATTTAGAATTCCTCACAAATGTAAAGCTGAATCCTGTCCTTCAAGGATTGAGTTCTAATCCATTTAAACTAAATATCATTTTTAGAAATTTTAAAAAAGTTATTTTTTCACAATTAGTTTGTAATTGTTTTTCTGCATTTATACTTTAATCAATATATTACAGAAAAAAAAGATATTTTCTTGAAAAGAGGTAAAACTGTTGTTTATAATAATAATCTAAATTAGTTTGGTTTTATGGTTTTCAAGTTGTAGGCAGATCGATCGATTGATTGATTGATTGATAAATGAATTTATGAACTGATCTGTAGACAGTTTCCAGGACTTTGGGAGATACCTTTAAACTCACATCATGTCGAGGTAAGCAGAAAATCCAGGAAATCCAGGAAACCTAGGGAAATTAGGAAATTCAAGAAATTCAAGAAATTCTGGAAATTCAAGAAATTCAGGAAATTCAAGAAATTCAAAAAATTCAAGAAATTCAAGAAATTAAAGAAATTCAAGAAATTCAAGAAATTCAGGAAATTCCAATAGTGTTTTCCGTCATGTTGTAATCTGATTTGAATGATGACTTGAATTTCCGCTGAAAATCCTTGTATAAAAATTAATTTTATTTATTTGAGGGGTTTGTAGCGGGACACTGTCCCTATCTGGACCAATGTGTTTTTACAAATATGGACAGGTACAAATAAAAATAAAAATATCTGAAATATGTATAATTTTTAAAAAAAGTGTGTGGGGTGCTGATATATTTGAGTGGTATAAAAGTTTAAATCGAAACTGTGTTTAGAGATGATAAACTTGAGTGGTATAAAAGTTTAAATCGAAACTGTGTTTAGAGATGATATATTTGAGTGGCATAAAAGTTTGATATCGAAACTGTGTTAAGTGATCATATATTTAAATGGATAAAAGTTTATATCAAAACTGTGCTTCGTAAAGATATATTTGATTGATTATATCGAAACTTCGTTTAGTGATTATATATTTGATTGGTTAAAAGTAAAAATCTAAACTGTGTTTAGTGATGATATATTTTATTGGTTAAGAGTAAAAATCTAAACTGTGTTTAGTGATAATATATTTTATTGGCTAAAACTAAAAATCTAAACTGTGTTTAGTGATGATATATTTTATTGGTTTAAAGTAAAAATCTAAACTGTGTTTAGTGATGATATATTTGATTTGTTTAAAGTTTATATCGATACTCTCTTTAGTGTTGGTATATTTGACTGGTTAAAGTTTATATCGAAACTGTGTGTAGTGATGATATATTTAAATGGATAAAAGTTAAAAACTAAACTGTGATTAGTGATAATATATCTGAGTGGTTAAAAGTCTAAATCGAAGCTGTGTTTAGTGATGATATATATATTAGTGGTATAAAATTTATATGAAACTGTGTTTAGTGATGATATATTTGATTGGTTAACAGTAAAAATCTAAACTGTGTTTAGTGATGATATATTGAATTGGTTAAAAGTAAAAATCTAAACTGTGTTTAGTGATGATATGTTGGATTGGTTAAAAGTAAAAATCTAAACTGTGTTTAGTGATGATATATTTGAGTGGTTAAAAGTAAAAATCTAAACTGTGTTTAGTGATGATATATTTGACTGGCTAAAAGTAAAAATCTAAACTGTGTTTAGTGATGATATATTTGAGTGGTTAAAAGTAAAAATCTAAACTGTGTTTAGTGATGATATATTTGAGTTGTTAAAAGTCTAAATCTAAACTATGTTTAGTGATGATATATTTGAGTGGTTAAAAGTAAAAATCTAAACTGTGTTTAGTGATGATATATTTGAGTGGTTAAAAGAAGACTTCCTCCGTCATTATACAACTAACAAGGTAAAATAAATCGGAAAATTTGTGAATATTATTTATTTCTAGAAAGAATTTAATAGAATCGAAGAATTGTGTTATTTTTTAAGGCGCCCTACACTTTGGCAATGCATACAAACTGGTTTACGTATAAGGAGCAGGTATCTTCTAATATATATTTTCTCTTGTCTTCTATATTCTATCAATTATCCTCTGTCTTCTATCATTTTTCTTTGTTTCTTCTATCTTCTAACTAGGTTACTGCTCTTGAGAAGTTCATGAACTACACAAACACTTTAGATGATGTTTACTACGTCACAGCTACTCAGGTAAATGAACAAACAAACAAATAAAAAAAACAGAACGAACAGATTAGGCAACAAGTAATGTAGCATAATATCAACAGATCAACAAACACAACGATAACTATGAAGAAAAGGCAAAGGGAAAAACGAGATTTTTTTAACAATATCATCTTTAATTGTATGAGTTTACTAGGCCCTTCTCTGGATGACCGACCCTGTAGGGTTGGATGAGTTGATCCTGGTGGATAGCTGGAGCTGTGACCCGGAGGAGGAGAAGGTTGACCCACCATGCGTGAGCCCTAATCAGTGCGCTCTCTCCCATACTGAGAATGATATCAGTGTTATCAAGTATATGACCACATGCAAGGTTTGACATTTTGAAAATCAAATTGTTTTTGATAATCGTGTTTTGTGAAAAGTTTTAAAAGGGGATTTATTTTCAATTTCATCTTAATGTCTGCATTAAGTGGGTTGGACTTTCAACTGTTATTCCTGATATATATAATGTAACATAGCAAATTCCATAAAGCATTATCATTTGCATTTTTAATGATTCTTGCAATAAATAGAATATTTATTACAATTTTCTGAATTTAAAGTGCTATTTTTTTATCAAGGTTGAGAGAAGAAAATGTATGATAATATTAAATTTTATTGTTTACTTTTATTACTATTGATTTCAATGGTATCTTATCTCTAACTTTGTCCAAGAGTGTTATACATGAAGGAAGCATCTGACCGTACATAAAATATGTTTAGACTTGTCCTGCAGTGTACCCCTGGTTAGGAAATGTTTATGGCAAGGAAACTGAAGAAAAGGATGTTTATCCGAAATTTGAAGATTGATGTATTCATACATATACATCATTAACATCCAGTTCGTAATTATAAAAAATCTATGTGTAACTGTAATATTCCTTAAATGTAAACTACTGGAAAATAAATGTTTTAAAGTATATGAATTGATGAATGTTAAACGAGATGGTTTATCAAGAGTGACAAAGGGTGAAATTTCTGTACAAGGGTGGGTATCCGGAATACTTTTTAATTCTTATAATTCTTATATTAATTCATAAGATTTCCTCCCTTAACGTTCTTTAAATCAATTGTGTCTGTAACGACTAACGAATGAATTAAATTTTTGAAAATAAAAATAATAATATCTACTGGGTTTTAAAAAAAACACAGTAGAGCCTCAATTTCGGACCAATTTTGACAGTTTTGGACATTTTTGATTTGCACTAAAAATGTCTTATCGAATGGTCTAAATTGTTTTGGTCTTTGGGGGAAAAAATAATGCACCAGAGGAATTCCAAAACTTCAAACTAGAATTAAAAATAATAGAAGGCTCTAGTTACACCCATACGATCATAAATTATTAGTTGATATCAAAAATGTTCAAAATTGTCAATATTTGTCCAACATTGACCCTGTTCATACTTAAGAGTTTAAGGAAATTTATACATTGTAAATATTGTAATTTTATTATAAATATTGTAATTTTATCCCTGGCATTAAACAATTTGCAGATCTGATCATTGGTCCAATATATGCCCTAAATTCATGCAGTGTACAGATAACTACAAAACTGTATGACTTCTAGGTCAGTACAGACAGATAGATAGATAATGAGCCAGATAGATGGATAGATAGATAGATAATGAGTCGGATAGATGGATAGATAGATAGATAATGAGCCGGATAGATGGATAGATAGATAGATAATGAGCCGGATAGATGGATAGATAGATAAATATATATAGATAGATAGATAGATAGATACTTAGCTGGATGAATTGGATAGGTGGATAGATAGATTGATAATGAGCCGGATAGATGGATAGATAGATAGATAATGAGTCGGATAGATGGATAGATAGATAGATAATGAGCCGGATAGATGGATAGATAGATAAATATATATAGATAGATAGATAGATAGATAGATAGCTGGATGAATTGGATAGGTGGATAGATAGATTGATAATGAGCCGGATAGATGGATAGATAGATAGATAATAAGCCGGATAGATGGATAGATAGATAAATATATATAGATAGATAGATAGATAGANAATATATTTCAGAGCTAACCAACAAGCCGTTTTGACGTTTATTGGATACAAACAGACAGACAAACAAACAAACAGACAAGCCAAATTTATAGATAGATAATAATAATATTAATAAGGATAATAATGATATATTTTCGACAAATTAATTGGTAATTAAAGTAAATAAATTATTTTCAAATTTTACAAAGATAAAAAGAAAAAAGAAAAAATTAATACATAGTATAAAGCATAAACATGACACATAAAAAAACAAGAAAAAAAGATATCGGCGCTGGAATACCAATAGCAAATAAAGGAGGAAAAACATGAGTTTAGAACTGAAACTGTAATGCAATGACATATACAAGCCGATTAATTTTTAAAAAGGTTTCTAGATGCACAATTGTTTAGTTCAATGAATTTAGATTTTTTACAAAATATAATATAGTTATTAGTTTGAGCAGTGTACTGTTTACAGCTCTTGTAAAGAATCTTGTCTCAAATACTAATTTTCTCCTCCATTAATCTTTGCAACCTATCTACCATTTATATCTCAAACTTTGAATTCTGCTACATGAAATGGTCAAAATTTAAAATAACAATGACATATGCATTACATCTGCAATATTCTTGTATTTGTGACTATGAAGTATACGAGTATATGTATATATATATTTATATATAACTAAATATATTATGTAATTACACTAAATAAACAAAGATTGCTCCAGTATACATATATAGAAGGATAGCAGGTGAATATTCTAGAATATATTTACTTTTTCTTATTTTACTTTTATTTTTTCTATATTCTTTATTTCTAGTATTACACTACAAATGTTTACTCCAAAACAAAAATTTGAAATCAAATTTAAAATTTTGAAAATTAAATGTCAAGTTATTTTGAATTATGATTTCCGAAAAGTATGATAGAGAATATTTGTTTTAACTACGGTTAAAAGAAAGTGAAATGTTATTATTTTGTTATTTAACTTTGGATGGAGTTTTTTTGTAATCGACTTCAAATATTTTGATCTGCCCTAAACCTTCAGCTCAATCGTTCTTCGAGTCTTTTTGACGTTTATGGGATATAATCTAACAAGTAGAAAGATATAGATGGAGTTTGACCATATTATGAAATGATTAAAAATGAACAGGCTCTATGGCTCCTTAACTCACATCGAATTTTTTATTTCTTATAGTTGTAAAATGATCTTTTCTTAAATACATTTTAAATTTAAGTTAACTGTTTTTTTTATTGCCTTATCAATGTCGAACCGGTAATTTCTTTGGATTGAGATTAAACAATCAGAATTTCAATTTTGTCTAAAGTCTTCGGTAGAAATAGGTTATAACGTTGTATGTCTAGCTGATTAAACAAAAATACTCCAATTTTAGTTTGTGAGGTGATAATCATCAGTATAATTTTGGTTTCTCTCCTTCATTTCCCATTTGTCTGGAATTTCCACTTAATTATACTAATATAATATAATATAATATAATATAATATATTAATACTAATTTTATACACAGTAAAAGTACAGTTTTACACCTTTTGTGTACTGTGTACAACTCATGTATAAAAAAATTTGTATAAATATTTAAAAAGGAATTTTTTGTAAAATGAAGATTTTTACAAAATTAATTTCTGATTAGTCTATGTAATTATATTCTAATCTATATCAGTATATCAGTATGTATCTGTAGTTAAACTATGTAAGTCGATGGTTATCCAGTTAGTCTACACAAGTCTATGTTAGGAATGTTAGTCTATGTAATATAGTTGATTCTTAAAATGCAATATTTAAATGCATCACATGGCACGTTTACGTATATGATTAGGTCCCATGCACTGTTCAAGTGTATACTCTATACTCTGTATAGCTGACAGATGAAGAACAGATAAATATAAACAGATAAATAAACAGATACAGATAGATAGATATACAGATATATATATGGATAGATAGATAGTTAGATAGATGGGCGGGGTTAACCTGGGTGATGGGTTGCATTAAGCTTGAGTACGGAGTAGGAGAGGGTTAAAGATACAGCTTCAATAATTTACGTCATTTTAATAAAAACTTATATTTCAAAAATATTGGCCAAAAGGGAAAATTTATTTTTAGCAGGAAAATATGACGCTCAGTCGATTTTTCATAAGTTTTATGATTTTTAATACGAAGTAATTTTTTTTGCGATATATTTTAATACTGGTTTATTTAAAATGGTATTAAACAAATTTTAATTGCAGAATGGATTCTGAAGGTAAATTATAGGGGAACATAGGGAGAAGTAACTGTACAGTGCAGTACACCAGGATCATGTACAGAAGCAATATGAGAACATTCATTCAGATTAGGTAAAGGCTAAATCAGCTGTCCATTCTAATTTTCAATTCTAGTATTTTTTTTCGTTCGGTTTGAGTTTAAACTGAATCCGAGGTTCTATTAACTTTAACGTAATAAAACCAGTAGTATTAGAAAACAAATGAAAGGGGTAAAATATGAATTTTAATCAAATTATTCATTGATTTTTAATATTGTTTATTTCTCTGAAGTGGCTGAAAAAGTTCTAACTTAACCAAAGGAATAGTGAGCCCGTGTGGCATCATTTAGAACAGTCTTTAATTTTCTACGAAAAACATATTTTTGGCTAGGATTTAAAACCATTTCATTCAGTATTGTTTGTTTACTGGGGGCACAAGCAGACCACACCAAACACAACTTAACATTCGAGCAGTTCGAAGAGATTATAGCTGATCTTAAACCGAAGATACCAGTTTCATATGATTTCGAGCTAGCCAGGTGACAATGATGTTGATGATCATGTGGATGTTGATTTGATGTTGATGTTTGATGTTGATGTTGATGATGATGTTGATGTTGATGTTGATGTTGATGTTGATGTTGATGTTGATGTTGATGTTGATGTTGATGTTGATGTTGATGTATAGGGCTAGAAGACAACTGGATGGTCTAAGCTACGAGTATAACAGTGATGATACTGAATCTGGTTCCTGGGGGGAATGGGGAGAACCGTCCCAGTGTTCCAGGTATAATATCTATATAAAAGGTTAACCACGAAGGATGAGACTGTAAAGACGACCTGAAACTCTTAAAATAGGACGATTTTAAGGTTGAATAAAGCCGTCTGCCTTGAATATTATTTTTTAATGTATTATTGAACTACTTGGCAAAGAAAGAGACCAGTTTACAGTTGCATATAATCATAAATATACGGAAACGGATCACTACACATTAAAATCCAATTATATACAATTAGAAGAGTTTACCCATAGAAAACATCAACCATAGGAAAATCATTCTAACATTTAAAAGTTTGATAATTTATTTAATTCTGATACTGATAGCCTAGAAGAACTTTTCGTAAAACCTTATTATTTATCTTGATATAATATCTCAAACAAAGCTAAACTTCTAATCCGACGACATTCTGTTCCGGACTCGCCGGACCCATTTATATCTAAAATCTGCAAATCTACGGTAATCTCGTTGCTGGCTATTTCCAGGAGTATTTATAGCCTCCTCCAGATACGGTGATAACATGTAAAAATTGCAACAACGGTCGTCTTCGAGCTTTACTTTTTTGTAATTAGAAATACTGCCGCCATACAGTTTGTAGATCTTTGTCTTTAAAACTGGGGTATCGACTCGACATTTATGTATAGTTATATAAGTAAAAATATACTTTAATTGTCTGTCTGATTGTTTGTCTGTCCGTTTGTGTCCAATAAACGTCAAAACAGCTGAAACGATTGGTCCCCAAATTTTTTGTTGGACCTCGCGTGACCCCACGTAAGGTTCATGAATGATCTAAGTTTTAAAAATTTGCCTCCATCAAAACTCAATTTAAAAAAAATGTTTTACAATGTGCACAAAGAGAATATGTTCACAATATAAATAGAAGATGGGCGCGAAGTGCTCTAATAGCCTAGTATGAGAAAAATGGTAATTAAATTACAATTAGTGGTATTTCTAATTAAAAGAAAAAACGAAGACGACAGTCATTCTGTTTTTTTATATCTTTATATATGTTTGTAGAACCTGTGGAGGAGGAGTACAGACTGAAGAACGTCAATGTGGAGGTACTCGTCCTGATCTCTGTGTTGGAGCCAGTAAACGATTCTCCAGCTGTAATCTAGAATCCTGTCCTAGGTATACAATTATACAATTATGAAATTATTCAGGAACTAAAGCAAAGATTTGTAGTTAGAATATTAGTCGGTCTCTCAACAAAAATGTTTTTTTTTGCGAAATGACTTGTAACATTTATTTATAAAGTCGTAATCACTCAACATAGATTTTAAAACCATACTATAAGAACATTCCCGTGGTCACCCAATATTTCTGAGTTATGGGCAAACAAACAGACAAACATATATTTGCTTTAAATATGAATTGGACGAACGAGCACCTTGTTTAATTGCTTCTACCATCATTTATTTTATTTTATACATATTGTTAAAAATGAAAATTTGGAAAAAATGTTTAAAAAATTTATGAATTGGAAAAAGTTCTGCTCAGATACTTTCTTTTTTAAAAGAATAAAGAATTCGGATATTTCTTTAAAAAAAAATATTTCATGAATTCATATTAATTAATTAGAGATAATACTTATAGCACAATAAATTTTAATATTTCCTTCTATAAAAAATTTCCTAACAACTTTTTGAAAAGTTTGGAATATAACAAAAGTAAGAATCATTTAGGATAAAATTAAATAACTATTATTAAACTCAATCCTTTCCTTTATTTACATATATATTGTAACATATTTCATTAATATTTCTATATTTTAGAGGTTCTAAAGATTTCCGGGAAGTCCAATGTTCAGAGTACAATAATGTACTTTACGAAAGAAAGTACTATGACTGGATTCCATATCTAAAGGTATGTTATTCAATACTAAGATCATGAGTACATATTGACATGTATTAAATATTTATAAAATGTTTTGACGAAGCTTCAAATAGGCTTTACGCCTTTTAACTTTTATTGTTTATTTTTTATTTGCAAACATTATGTCTTCGCCTAAGAAAAGAATTTTTTTTTGGTGATTTTAGTGAGCACATTTGTTTAACCAGCCATAAACAACCCCTGGGTTTCGATTCCCTATAGTTGACATGTTTTAGGCCCCTAGAAAATGTGAGCTGAATTGTATGCCAAAAGGAGAAAGGTTTTATCTAATGCAGGCTAAAAAGGTAAATTACACTGTAAAAATATAACTATTGAAAAATATTAAATATTGCTCTGAAAAACGAAAAAAAAAACCTCTGAACAAGTTTTTTTTATTTAAAGGAATTGAGTTTCTGTCACAAACTCTGATTTTCTAATCCCTATATCTTTGCAACTTGATGCTGAAGACCTCTGATATTTCAAACTATAAATTCTGTTAAATTAAATAGTCTAAGTTTGAAATATAAAAGGTTTACACCATCAAGTTGCTAAGATAGAGAGATTAGAAAATTTGAGCTTGCGGCAAAAACTCAATTCATTTTCTAAAAATTGTATTTTTTTCAATATTTTAGGTGGTGGATGGAACTTCTTGTGATGATGAAGGAACGAAAATCTGTGTAGACGGTATGCACAATATTTTACATGACATTGCAGTACTTTTCAGTTCAATATTTTGGAGGACATTGCAGTACAATATTTGCCAAAACAACACAGTCAAATATTTTGCAGTACATTGCAATGCGATATTTTGCAATACTTTGCAGCACAATATTTTGCAGTAAATGTTAGCACATCACTTCTTGTTCTCTAGGGGAGAGTAAACCAGTAGGGTGTGATGGTATGCCGGGGAGTAATATCAACTTCTTGTTCTCTAGGGGAGTGTACACCAGTAGGATATGATAGTATGCTGGGGAGTAATATCAACTTCTTGTTCTCTAGGGGAGTGTACACCAGTAGGGTATGATAGTATGCTGGGGAGTAATATCAACTTCTTGTTCTCTAGGGGAGTGTAAACCAGTAGGGTGTGATAGTATGCTGGGGAGTAATATCAACTTCTTGTTCTCTAGGGGAGAGTAAACCAGTAGGGTGTGATAGTATGCTAGGGAGTAATATCAACTTCTTGTTCTCTAGGGGAGTGTAAACCAGTAGGGTGTGATAGTATGCTAGGGAGTAATAGTCAACTTCTTGTTCTCTAGGGGATGTAAACCAGTAGGGTGTGATAGTATGCTGGGGAGTAATATCAACTTCTTGTTCTCTAGGGGAGTGTAAACTAGTAGGGTGTGATAGTATGCTAGGGAGTAATATCAACTTCTTGTTCTCTAGGGGAGTGTAAACTAGTAGGGTATGATAGTATGCTAGGGAGTAATATCAACTTCTTGTGCTCTAGGGGAGTGTAAACCAGTAGGGTATGATAGTATGCTAGGGAGTAATATCAACTTCTTGTTCTCTAGGGGAGTGTAAACTAGTAGGGTGTGATAGTATGCTAGGGAGTAATATCAACTTCTTGTTCTCTAGGGGAGTGTAAACCAGTAGGGTGTGATGGTATGCTCGGGAGTGACACTAAGGAGGATCTATGCAGGGTCTGTGGAGGAGATGGGTCCCAATGCCAGACTGTAAGTTTAAGTGATTCTTTACATTTTCCTAACGTGCAAGCTTTTAATTTGAAGCAATTATGTGCTTTGTCCATTAAATCGCGATCTCTTATTCTATGTTTCCAGCATCCTAAAGAGTCTATCGTTATCCATTGGACTATACGGATTAGTGCTTTCTGAAAGGACCACCATTAAAAATTTCCAACCACGGTTTTCTTCAAATCTTAAATTTTGATTAAAAAGGTAAACGCAAAATAGATTTTTTCTATAAGCTTACATTTTTAAAGAAAGAAATACTTTAACAAATAATCTATTTCTTGTCAGGTGTCTGATGTAGTGAGTAGACAAGATCTACAGATGGGATACAATGACCTGCTTGTGATTCCTGCAGGAGCAACCAATATAAGGATAGCAGAGGTACATACTTCAGTAGACTTTTTCCTTATCAATCAATCAACATTTGTAGAAATTATCCTCTTCTGCTGTTCAGACAGGGTTCGTGTGCACTCCTAGCGTAACAGTGACATTTTTCTGTAATTGATATCATAAAAAATGTCACTCTGCGGAAACATCATATTCAAAAGTGTCTCATAAAAACTTTGTGTTTTTAGGTAAAAGCAAGCAACAACTACCTGGCTATTCGAAATATGAGTGGACATTACTATTTGAATGGAAACTGGAGAATTGATTACCCTCAGAAGCTGGAAATGGCAGGTCAAACATTGCTTTACTCTGTTTTGATCATGCATTTATACTAGCTATGGTGTTTGGGCTGAAATGGGGCTTACTAGAAAAATTCAGGACTTTGCATGTCAAATCCATTTCAAACATCCAAAGTTTATTGTTTAAATTTTTTGTTTGAATTCTCTACTATTGGTCATTGAATAAGAAGGTGACCAATCGGAAGGAAGGGGACAAGAGCAATGCAACTGGTTTACATTTTTATCCATGTTGAAAAATCTAATTGGGCAATCCATTTCATTCAAAATTTTTTGTTGTAAATACGAATCTTAGCAAAATATTAAACAAAAGTTTCAACCTCTGGATGAATTTAATAATATAATTTTTAGGAACCACATTCCACTACGAGAGAAAATATAAGAATGGGAAAGCTAAAGGTCCTCTTACTCTGTTTGCACCTGAAAGTATTAGATCACTAGGACCTATCAAAGAATCATTATATGTTGTGGTAAGTTGGAAGATTTTAGCTAATTAACATTTTAGCTAATGGAGTTTCTCCTAGATTCTATACCAAGAGGAAAATCCTGGAGTTGAGTTTGAGTATTCAATGAAGAAAGATAATGTAAAAGAAACTCCTGTTGGTTCAAGTGGAGGCTATCAGTGGACCCAGGTAATTTTGCATCAAATCAAATTTACAAACCAATTTGAACCCCAAATGATCTGCCACTGATTTTCTCATATGTCTACTATAGCTTTAGCAGTTATTTCTATTTGATAATTTATATTTTTCTTATTGTGATTGTGAAGGGAGCTTGGAGTGATTGTAATGCACCATGCGGAGGTGGAACAAGAACAAGAGAAGTATTTTGTTCTGAAGAGGCAACATTTCAAAGAGTGTCTGAGGGTCTGTGTGATTCCAATGTGAAACCACCACTAAATGAGACTTGCAATGCGTCCCCATGTCGCCCAAGGTAGATATCATAATTAGAAATCAACAAGACATGGTATGTAAATATTTTATTATTAGATGGAATGTTGGTGACTGGGGAAACTGTACAGTTAGCAATGGAACTGAAGAGACTGAGTGTACTCAATATCAGTTCAGGAATGTCTTTTGTGAACAGGTGTTAGCCAATAACATGCCAAGCTTGGTAGACATTGAGGAATGTGATGAGAGCCTTGGCGATCCACCTGTTTCTGTAAAAGTCTGCGATGAAGAGATTGAAGATGATTTTGCTCTTGAGGATGAATCTGGACCCAAATATCATATTGGACCATGGACTGGGTGTAGCACAATCTGTGGCTCTGGAATAAAAACTAGAGAAGTCACATGCTATAAGAAAAATGATGATGATGGTGTTGATATATTGGAAGATTCTGAATGTTTAAGTTCAAAGCCTGCTATTGAGGAGCCATGTGAAAACGAAAACCCCTGTGAACCTTTTGACTGGATCTTGTCTGACATGACCACATGTGATAGCAAGTGTGGACTGACACATGCTTCAAGATATGCCATTTGTGCAGACAATGAGGGAAATGAGGTTCCAGCAGACTCCCAAGAAAGATGTGGAACAGAACTTCCAGAATTAACAGAAGAATGCGACTCTTCTGAGCTGTTGTGCGAGTTCAGCTGGTTTGCATCTCAGTGGAGTGAATGCTCTAGCAAGTGCACTGATATATTAGGTATTCAAAGCAGGTATGTGTTTTGTGGTAGTATGGCAGATGATGGTACAATAACAAATACTACTGATGATAGCTGTAAGGAAGAACTGAAGTATAATAACACTAAAGAATGTTTTGGTACTGAGGAGTGTACAGGTAATTGGTTTGCCAGCAGTTGGAGTACTTGTAGTGCGGAATGCAATGGGGGGAAAATGAATAGAAAAGTATTCTGTATAAAAGATGGCAAGCCTGTCGCACCAGACCAGTGTCAAGAAGATTTAAAATTCCTTGAAGAAGATGACTGTAACCAAGATTCCTGTCCAGAAGCTTCAGGTGAAGAGGCTGAACCATGTGAGTACTATGATGACTGGTGGATCTTTGGTGGAGGAAACTCATCAGAAACGCCTGACAAAGAAAGCAGCTCTGATGGTTCAGGTTCTGGAGAAGGATCTGGGGCAGGATCTGAGATAGATTTGTCTCTATTTTCAAAGAGATGCAAGCCAGCTCCAGTGGAACCTTGCTCCAATTCATCTTATGGGTGCTGCCCAGATGGGTTCTTCTCACCTACTGGTCCATTTAATGAAGGATGCATGGAATATAAGACTTGTGAAGATACAAGATATGGTTGTTGTCAGGATGGATTTACAACTTCTCAAGGGGCCAAATTCCAAGGTTGTCCTCCAACCAATTGTGAGAATACACTATATGGATGTTGTAATGATGGAGAAACACCTGCTAGTGGGTTTGGGGAGAACACAAAATGTGATGAGAACAAGAAATGCAAGTCTGGACCCTTTGGTTGTTGTCCAGATGGAAGAACATTTTCTCAGGGACCCAAAAAGCAGGGATGTTTCTCTTGTCCTGAAGAAGTGTTTGTTTGTGATGAATGTGAGAAAACTGAGTTTGGTTGTTGTCCTGATCTCCAGAATGCAGCAACAGGACCAGAGTTTGAAGGATGTCCAGATGAAGATGGCTCAGGAGCTTATGAAGATTGCACTCTCACTGATTTTGGCTGTTGTCCTGATGGAATAACTAAAGCAAAGGGAGAAAACTTTAAAGGATGTGAAAAGGCAACTCCATGCAAAAATGCTAAATGGGGTTGTTGTGAGGATCTTCTGAACCCTGCTCATGGTCCAGATAAAGAAGGTTGTTGCTTGAATTCTGAGTTTGGTTGCTGTCCTGATAACATATCTCCAGCTGAGGGTCCAGACAATAAGGGTTGCGGATGTGAGTTCACTGAGTTTAAATGCTGCCCTGATGATATAACACCTGCAAGAGGGAAAAACTTTGAAGGTTAGATTTAATTCATTTTAATCAGAGAAATTTAAATTCATCAAGTTGGAAATTTAATATCCCATACTTACATGCTCATAAGTACTGGGAAATTAAATTCATTATCATTCCGTTGCCTCGAGAATCAGGAAATCTGAAAAATTATGAGAATGCCGCCATTATGTATTTTCTTGTATTTCCAGGATGTGGATGTGTGTCCACAGAACACGGTTGCTGCCCTGACAAATTTACTCCTTCTCCTGGTCCAGAACACCAGGTCTAAACTTATTAAAGTTTAATAAGGAGAAATCATTTATTTATTATACCTGTGGTCAAACATGTTTGTATTGTTTATCAGTTACTTTAGTAACCACTTCTCTGCTGGATTAATTTAAGTATTCAATTTTGAAGCACAGTGAATTCAAAAACTGAAATTTTCTTCAGCTAAGCAGAATCCACAAATATCTGTTCTAAGCCAGTCAGGGATTTTTAGCAGCCGTTTTACAGAGATTAAATTCTTACTTGCCTTAATTTTAAAGTTTCCATTGCTAATTTGGATCCTCGGCTGATAAATTAGGGCTATCTCGTACGTAAAGGAATTGCGTTTTTTCCCCAAATTCTAATTTTCTAATCCCTATATATTTGCAATTTAATGGAGCAAACCTTTTAGATTTTGAACTAATATTATTTGATGTAACAGAATTCATAGTTTGAAATATCTAAGGTGCATGTACGACAATGGGTTGCAAAGATATAGGAATAAATCAGAGTTTATGGCAGAAACTCAATTCATTCCGACCTCCTCTGTATTCTTTATGTTAAATTTACCATTATGAGAACTGAGTTGATTTTTTTTCACAAAAAATTGAATTTTTAGGGATGCCCTTGTCACACTTTTGAATATGGATGTTGTCCTGATGGAGATACAATTGCAAGAGGTTATTAAATCATTTAAATTAAAAATTATTTTCAGACATGGAAAATTTTAAACGACGAAACAAGATAAAGTTAATTCAAAAAGAACTGTGAATTTCAAAATTTAACTTAGAAACGATTATTAAACTGGTATTTGCTTTCAATATTCAATAATTTCTGTTTTGAAAATTAAAAATCTAATAAAATAATCTAAAGTTTTTAATAAAATTTCCACAGTCATATAATTTCGGACTCAGTTACCCTGAGAACTTAATTCTTCTTGTTTGTTTAGGTCCAGCCCAGGAAGGATGTACTTGTAAGGATAGAGAATATGGTTGCTGTCCAGATAGAAGAACAGCAGCATCTGTAAGTCTATTCTTAGAACCATGAAATATTATACTGCAGGACTGACAATTAGAGGGGAGAGGGGGGAAGGGGGGGTTGAAAATATTTAGTAATAACAAAGAATTACTCAGGGAATTGATTTTGATGGTTGTGGATGTGCTGCTAGTGAGTTTGGATGCTGTCCAGACGGAAATAGTACTGCTACTGGTGAAAACTTCCAGGTAAAGTTTTCTAAATACAGTCCTAGTACAGTCAGACTGTGACACTGTGAAATAGGGAGAGACAATTTAGGTCGTCTTCCTATTCAACAGTTTTATGGAACTCACTGTAAGAAAGAGTTTCTGTATTTCTAGTTTTGAGCATTACATTACTTATTCACATTTGAATGGAGTTTATTAGTAATCTAACAACATGTGATCATAAGTATAATTCACATAAAAACTGAAGCATTTTAATCTTTTTACTATACAATTTAGACCGTTCGGTGGCGCTTTTTTATTTTGGACATCCGTATATCCAAATCTAAAAAAACACTGATTAACTCTTAATTATTTTTTTTTTATTATTATTTAAAGTTTCAACCACAAGCCATTACTGTTGTATTTTTCATTCATTTAGAATTGTTAAATATTTCCTATAATTGCAGGGCTGTGGAGATCAAGAGCTACCTGAACCTCCAGCAGAGGTCTGTGGACTAGATAAAGATAGAGGACCAGCTAGAGATTTCGTTGTCAAGTAATATCAATATTCAATAACAATAAAAGGAATTGAGTCTCCGACACAAAGTCTGATCTTCTAATTAAATCTCTAAACTCTCATCTTCTAATTAAATCTCTAAACTCTGATCTTCTGATTAAATCTCTAAACTCTGATCTTCTAATTAAATATCTAAAAACTGATTTCATAAAACCTAGATATTTCAAACGGAGGCCGAATTTAAAGAATTTGAGCCGCGGTTTGAATTTGAAACGCAGATCAAATATGGTTGGTTCCACTTAAAATTGTATTTATTGTTTCAAGATTTAAAGCTGGCGCTCAATTGAAACCGGTTAATTTTGGCGGTTTTAAGACGCGGCTCAAATTCATTAAATTCGGACACTTGTAGAAAAAATAATCTAGGTTTAAAATATGAATGGTTTGCATCACAAGGTCGAAAAGGGATCCAAAAATTTGATTTGTAACAAAGATTACCTTTCATGAAACAGTCTTTCGATATAAAGGGTCCAACAATAAATTGTCCTTTTTGTTAAGTCTTATACAAAGACTTCCCATCAATATGTCGTATCTAAGAAATACACAATGTTCTTCTAAGAAATACACAATGTTCATCTATGAAATACACAATGTTCATCTATGAAATACAAAATGTTCATATATGAAATACACAATGTTCATCTATGAAATACACAATTTTCATCTATGGTTCATCTATGAAATACACAATGTTCATCTATGAAATACACAATGTTCATCTATGAAATGCACAATGTTCATCTATGAAATGTTCTTTACTTAAAATGTCTGATCTTAATGAGATTATTTTTATTTTACTTTTTTCAGGTGGTTCTTTGACATGGAGTATGGTGGCTGTACAAGGTGAAATTTTAAAATTACTTTTTTACAAAATAAAAAAACCATTTTTTAACTTTAAAGGTTTTGGTATGGAGGAGAAGGAGGTAACAGGAATAGGTTTGACACCAAGGAGGAGTGTGATACAGTCTGTGTTGAACCAGTTGGAAAGAGTGTAAGTGTACTGCATTGATAACCTATTAACACCAGAATGAGTGTCGTCTTCGATATTTCATTCAATTATAAATACTTTTAAGAATTTTGTAATTTATTACTGCTGTATAGTTCTGAAAATGTAGTAAAAAGAAACTTTTGTTTTATTTTGTTAATCCTAAAAGCTTGATCTCGATATCTCATGAGGGCACTTTTAAATTTAAGGATCAATAATTGATCCCCTCAAATAAAGTTATCTCTGCAGGGTCTGAACACCACGAGATATTGAAGAAGAATATAATTCGTAGATCTACATTAGATGAAGATTAATGCTTAATCCCAAGATTCACATTACAACAGTTCTGACTTCTGAGCTGGGAACTTTAGAATGGGATATCTTTAATTCTGACTGCTTAATCCGAATATCCAATGTGGACACTTTTAATTTCTTGCTTAATCCACTATTTTGGGATATAGTACAGAAAAATCAAAAACCGGGTTTTCAAAATTAGAGAGTCCCTCCAGTTTCTGTATATTAATCTTAAAAGGCGCACAAAATTTCTAATTTACCGCGGCTTCTAATATACGACTCTAATTAGTTGAATTTTATACACTTTTCAGGATACAAGTTCAAGATTCAGTTTATCTCGAAATTAAGAAAAAGAGATGATTAAGCAATAATCTCGATATCCATCATTCTAAAGTTCCCAGCTCTGGACATTTTTTCAGAGATATATCAGGGTTTGAGACTTTAAAAAAAAAAATCTATTTAATTCTTACTAATTACATGCTTAAAAATATTTCTATTTGAAGGCCTGCAATCTACCAATCGTTCCTGGGCCTTGTGAAGGATATTACCAGAAGTATGGATACAATAGAAATACTGGATCTTGCCAACAGTTTAAATATGGCGGCTGTCTAGGTAACAACGCTTAGTATTTAATGCTTTGAATTTGTTTACTTTATTTTGTAACCTTAGAAAATGCCACATTTGAAGTGTCCAAAACATTTTGAGAGTTTAACCAATTTTTTTATTTTGGTGGGACACATCAGCTGATGACAACATTCCAGAGAATCATGAAACAAAATCAGCTGAATTTAAAAATAGCTAAAATCACAATAAATATCATAATAAATATATCATATTTCCATTCAAAATTACACATTTGAATATTTGAGCCGGGTCAACCTTTTCGGTCCCAGTTTGTACTGTACCTAGCTCCATGGACAGGACTAGCTGGTGTAATAAGGTTGACGCGGTCAGACTTTACGCTTCATATAGGTTGAATTTACTTTTACTAAAGGGTCAGAGTTGATATATACTAATAAGCATGCATGATATATTTATTGTGCTATGGCTGCCCGTGTATAATCAATGTTGACATTTCAATTATATAAAATAATTAAAATAAGAAGTTTAAAAACTTCAATTATCAGCTGCATGCATTAAACTGGGTGAAAGTCCAATCAGACCGATTTTAACTAAAACAAAGATTAGTTTATTGACCGTTTTTAGCTCGAGCTTTTCATGGTTGAAATACCAGCTTTTTAATATGATTTTTATATTTTAGGAAACAATAACAAGTTTACTAGTGCAGAGGAGTGCCGAGATACATGTGAAGAAACTGAGTTTAAAATCCTGAATACAAACAGATGTGAACAAGAAATACTTCCAGGACCATGGTAAGCTTATTTACTCTCTTGTTGCCATTTATTTACAGTTGCAGTCTAATAATTACAATGTTGTTTCTGAACAAAAATCATGATATTTAATGCTTCTTTTTCTTGAGCGATTCTGATTTGAACATTTTGGAAAATGATCGAACAAAGCTAGAACAAATTTTGAGCACAGTTTGAAATTCTTGACACATTGCAAACAATGCCTTGGTCAAGCCAGATCCTGTATAGAACAATGAACCTAATTGAATTGGTAAGAAATCATGTTATTTTATTTTAGTCTGGGTAACTTTACACGGTTTGGTTACAACAAGGAGACAGAACAATGTGAAGAGTTTAACTATGGAGGATGCAAAGGTAACTTTTAAAAGAAAAAGAATTGAGGTTTCACCACACTCTCAAATTTTGTAATCCCTATATCTTTGCAACCTAATGGTGTAAACCTTTGACATTTCAAACTTTGCCTATTTTATCTAACAGCAGTCACAGTTTGAAATATCCATGGTGTGCGACATTGGATTGGAAAGATATAGGGATTAGAAAATCAAAGTCTGTGGCAATTCCTTTGATAGATTTTTAAATTTATATGAGTTTTGCTGTTTGTGTTGTGAACCATTTCAAATTATCATGCAATACTAGAATAAGTCTTTGAATTAAATGGGATTCACTTCATTTAGAGAGGTTCGTAACAAGATTACATCCTTTGTGAGTAACCACGCATTATCGAGCTGAAGATCCCAACCTTCTCACTATTGACGTCATTTTTATTTGAAGGGGCTGTATACGCGTAATTTTAGGTGACCCTCCATTTATTGAGTGTTATTCTCCGATTCACAATAGTACCATTCGAACCTATATCTGATGATAAGGAAGATGTAGGCTTTGTACCTGAAAACATGTTGAATTCAGATTTTTTCATTCTTTAGGATAAAAACAGCGAAACTGATAGTCATTTTGAAATATATTTTTTTAAGATAATAAAATATTGGCGTATTTAGGAAACCTGAACAGTTTTTTAACTATTGGTGAGTGTGAGAATACATGTAGAGAAGGAGGGGGCTCCAGGACTATGTGCCTTCTACCCAGATCCCCAGGTTAAACAATTTTTTAAAAACTTTTTATTTTAACAACTACAGCGTTTTTAGGTGTTTTTTTTTGTCGCTTAATTGGGGGAATTAATTTATTTTAAATAGAAAAGGAATGGATTTTTTTAGTTTAAAAAGCTAAAGCCCAGTTTTTTATTCTCCAAGAATCTAAAAAAGAAACCTCTTTCCTGACCCAATAGTATACTATTAAGTCTGTCCCTGCCAGGATAGATTACCTAAATAATCTACTTTAGGTCCCTGCCAGGATATGTAGGGAGATATCTGCCAGCTTGAGAAGAGTCCAGGGCCCTGCAGAGATTTTGTTGAACGGTTTTATTTTGATTCTGCCATGGAAACTTGTCAATCATTCCCATACGGTGGATGTGAGGGTAAGAATCTCAAATATATTTTGGAATAAAAATCTGACTCTTTATTTATTTTCGAAATATTTAATAATCTTAAAGAATTTGGAATGAGTATCGTATTTTTTAAATATACTAAAATTCCAGCTTTTCTCAAATCAAAGAAAATGTTTTAATTTTATTTGAATAAGGCAGATTAAAAATGTGCAATGATGCAATTTTTTAATATTCCAATAACATATAGCAAATTTTTATTTTAAGGCCAGGGTTGAAGGCAGGATTATTTCGAACTAAATTACATAAAATAAATTGTTTGTTTTTTTCTTCAGGAAACAAGAATAATTTCTTGACAAAAACTGATTGTGACAGTAGGTGCTCAACCGACTACAGTATTCCTATTCAGGTTCGAAACTGAAATATTTCAAAACTTTGGTCAGTACTTTTCGTGGCAAAAATTATTTTAAAAGTTGTAAAGGAATTCTGACTTTGCTCCAAACTTAAATTTTCTAATCCTATAATCTATGCAACATGATTGAAGAAAATTTACAATAAAAAAGCTAAGGTCTACGACGCACATTGTATTGCAAAGATATAGGGTTTAGAAAATCAGAGGTTGTGACAAAGACTCAATTACTTCTTTATTTCTAGATGTATTTGATGTTTTAGGAAGAATTTAAGCTCGAGTTCTGCTTCCAAGGGAAAGATGCAGGAGAGGGGGATTCAAAACAACCAAGATGGTATTATGATCATGAAGATGGTGTATGTAAGGTAAATACAAAACAACCAAGATGGTATTATGATCATGAAGATGGTGTATGTAAGGTGATAGATTGTACCTAAATAATCTACTTTAGGTCCCTGCCAGGATGGAATACCTAAATAATCTACTTTAAAATTCAGTGATGGTGATGGACCAAACCTCTGTAGAGTAAAAAAGTAGTTCTCTGTAGTTCTCTGTAGTTCCACATTTAGTGAAAATATATTTCGGTCTGGGTTGACCCTCGTCAGTTCTTGAGATTGTTTCTTCACAAAGATTAAAAACAAACTGTAGGTCCCTGCTAGGATAGATTGCCTAAATAATCTACTTTAGGTCCGTGCCAGGATAGATTACCTAAATGGTATTTTAATAATTTTGAGAAGAGATGCATGCCATTTTACTATGGAGGATGCGAAGGTAATCAATCAAGAAATTTAAAGATTGTGTTACCAAATACTTTAAAGTAGTTTTAGCATATTTTTTATAGCAACAAAAAGCTCCATCTGTAAAAAGTGTAAGTTCAAGTTTAAAACCTTTGAATCTATGAAAACAAAAGCAGCTTTTAAGCTTTCTAAAAATTATCTGTAAAATTGTTTTTTTGGTAAAGGAATTGAGTCGTTGATCATTTAATTTAACAGCATTCATAATTTTAAATATCCAAGGTTGCAAAGATATAGAGATTAGAAAATCTGAGTATGTGGCAAAGACTCAATTCCTTTGAAATGTTTTAAGATATTTATCTTATTATTCTTTTAAGGAAACGGAAACAGATTTGAAAGCCAAGAAGAGTGTCAAAAATCTTGCCCCTCAGAATTCTTACAGGTGACAAATGTGTTAATTAAAGATATTTTAAGATAAATTGTTTTAAATACTTGAAAAAAAAGTCAAGATTAATTTACCTGATTTTTACTCACATCCTTTACATTGTTCTTATACAGATGGTGTATGTAAGGTACAAATGAACTTAAATTTAACCTTAACTTTAATCTAAAGATTAAATATTTGACACTCCAATAATATAATTGATTAAAACTTGAGGAATTTTTAGTTTGAGCCTCAGATCGTTAAAAAAGGAAAAAAAATTAATGTTACGGCCCTGTCTTTAAAAGTTTGAGCCTCAGATCGTTAAAAAAGGAAAAAAATTAATGTTACGGCCCTGTCTTTAAAAGTTTGAGACTCAGAATTCTGTTTTCTGATTTTCCAAAGACTTATTATTTTCTCCAAAACCAGTATTCAAACTGTACACTTTTAAAAATTGTCTTTTTCCAAAAACTCTCTGGGTTTAAATCCTTTTGATTAAGATGATAAGGAAGGAAAGATTCATTTTCGATTATATGAATCATACAATTGAAATAATGTTCTAGAACTTTCTGTATGGTGGTCAAAAAGGAAATGGAAACCGGTTCCTGACAAGACAAGCCTGTGAAGAGCAGTGCTTTAAAGCACAGGATATTTGCGGACTTCCTAAGGTATGATAAAAGGGAATGTTTACCTATTTGAAAAAAATACTCTACATTTTTTTAAAGATCACAATTAAAGGGACCGGTCACTTATTTGGTCAATTTCATTTTAAACTAAACAGCCTATTAGCTGTTAATTGGTATTAGTCTTACTTTTCAAAGACAACTGTGGCCAGAGAAAAAGCCAATTTTTCGCTCAGAATTCGAATCACTATACTTGACGTTTTTCAGCAAAAACAGCCGAATAAAAGTTTAATTTATCATACTTCAAAGCCATTTTGTTTTAGCTATTATATACTAAAATATAAAAACTTTTGATATTAGAGTTAGCATATTTTACGTTTTTCGTATTAAATCTTTTAAAATGTATATACAAAGACGACGTTCTCTACGGCACTCAATTAATCATTACGTAATTTCGGTTCGTAGATTCAACTCCACGTTCGATGTAAATAAAATATACATCTTACTTTCAATTTTGTATTTGTAAGTAATTCGTAATAGTTTATTTTTAAAACTTTCGGAGCGGGATGGGAGAACCGCTTCGGTTAAAGAAATTAAAAAAATTATGACATTTACAATTAACTATTAGATACTACAGTATAATTTTTTATTCTATTTTTTTTAAATCCATGACATAGAAAAAAAACATCAAATAATGTATAGACAAAGGGACCGTCCCTTTGCGCTCGAATTCTGAACAATCGGCTTTTTCTCCGGCCACAGTTGTCTTTGAAAAGTAAGACCAATACTAATTAATAGCAAATAAATGGGATTAAATTATTGGGTAGTATTAACATACTTGTCTTGTAGACTATTGGACCCTGTAATGGGAACCAAGAACAGTATTGGTATGATAAAGAGAAGGATGAGTGCTTTGTATTTGCATATGGAGGATGTGAGGGCAATGGTAACAAGTAAGTATTTTTTTAGAAACTGTCATTGTAATTTCATGTGATTGACCATTTACAGAGGTACAACCCTGATTTACAATGGTACCCATTAAACCTTTATTTAATAAATAATTTGGAAGATTTGTCTTCTCATTAACTTGAAAAGGGTTAAATTCTGATAATTTACTTAATTGTTTCTGTACCACAAATGCACGAGTCACAAACCACAATTGAAACTAATCCATTTTTTCAAACAAACAAATCTTTGAAGTGAAACTAATCCATTTTTTCAAACAAACAAATCTTTAAAGGATACGGATGCAAAAAGAACATCCAACTCTATCAACTATAAGTTACTTGAAATTATGTTTTGCAGTCCTTTTAATTCGAAAATCCAATTTTTCAGGTTTGATACTCTTGAGTTTTGCAAAAGCAGATGCCAGAAAGGAACAGGCCCAAGACGTCCAACAAGTCAGATCGCACCAGGGGTTGATATCTGTAGTTTACCAATCAAAGTAAGATTGCTAATAATTCTTTAAAAAACATTGACATTGAATATTTTTTTTGTTTTCCAGGAGGGTCCCTGCACTGAAAACATACCTTCCTGGTATTTTGATTCTGCCAAGGGAGTGTGCACTGGTTTTACCTATGGAGGTGATTTTCTAGTTTCTAATTTAACAAAGATTTTTCAGTAAAAGATTTAATATTTTCCTACCAGGATGTGAGGGTAATGCTAACCGATACGAATCAGAAGAACAATGTGAAAGACAATGTGGACGTTTCAAAAATCAGGATGTCTGTTCAATGGAGATGGACTTTGGTCCCTGCATGGGCAGGTTCAGGAAGTTTTATTATGATTCTCGAGGAAAAGAATGTAAATACTTTACTTATGGTGGATGCGAAGGAAACGGGAATAGGTTCAGTTCTGTTTCAGAATGTGAACAGATTTGTCTGACTAGAGAAGAACCAGAAGTGATTGCGCCATCTGCTCTGTCCAAGGAAGCAATTTGTCGGCAGCCTGTTGACACTGGGCTCAACTCCTGCAATGACAACCTGGAGAGATGGTATTATGATCGGAGGGCTGGTTCTTGTTCAGCTTTTATTTACTCTGGTTGTTCCGGTAATATGAACAGGTTTAAGACATTTGATGTTTGTATTGGTTTTTGTGGGTCTCCAGCCCCAACCGGACCCTCAGCATTAGATACGTATAGACCTCCACCAGATAATGTTGATGAGCCCATAGATGAAGCTGAAGGAGACCCTTACTATGCTGACAATGAGAGTCAAACAGATATAAATTGTGAGGAAGCGTATCAAAGATGTTCAGCACTAAGGTGTCCTTATGGTACTCTGAGATACTATGATGATCGTACTAAATGTGAAGAATGCTATTGCAATGAACCCTGCAGAGGATTTGAGTGCCCTGCTCAAACATCTTGCAAAGTTGAGCCATACACATCAAGGGGTGAAACCATTTACAGAGCTGTCTGCAGAGATGATACTAAGGAAGGTATCTGCCCTAAACTCAGCAGGAATGAGAAAGCCACATGCAGTGAGGAATGCCAGACTGATGGAGACTGCTCAGGAGATCAAAAATGTTGTTATAATGGCTGTGGCAAATCTTGCATCAAAGCAGCAGCTGATCCAGGAATGGTTGATTATGATGATGCTACAGTAGCTCCTGTTGATGTTAATGCTCCAATTATTGAAGTTGTAAGTCCCACAATCATAGTGAATGAAGGTGATGTAGCTACACTTGAAGTAAAAGTGAAAGGTGTACCACAGCCCGATGTCTACTGGAGAAAGGACAGAAGGAACATTGACACCCTGCGAGGACGATTTAGACAGGTGGCTGGTGGATCCCTGCAGATTGTTGGAGTAAGAAGAGAAGATCAAGGACGATATGATTGCTTCGCCGACAATGGTCGTGGACCACCCGTTTCTGTCACCATAGTCCTATCTGTAACTCAACCTAGGGAGTTGGGTGCACGAATCATGGAAACGGATCCAAATGTAATCATGTCTCTTGGAGCTCCTGCAACTCTTTACTGCCTTGCTTACGGCTGGCCCAAACCAACAGTAACCTGGTGGAAAGGAACTAAAATACTTCCATTAAACTCGGACAGATTATCCCAGGATGAAGATTTTACGCTGAGATTGAGATCTATTGCCTTGTCCGACCTTGGACCCTATACATGCCAGGTAGATAATCCTCATTGCTAACTCAGATGTTTTTAGACCTTTCAAACTCAGTAAAGGGATTTTTCACTTCCCTCAATCGAATTTCCGAAGGTTTGCAATCTGATGTAAATTCATAAAATTTTAAACCTTGGCTATTTCATCCAGCGGGTTTCATAGAGCGAAATATCAAAAAGTCTACACGATAAAGATGATAGGCATAGAAAGTTTAAGCATGTGAAGGGTGATAAGTTCCTTTCCCATTTTTGAATAAAAACTGTTTTAAAACAATAAGTTAACTAACTAATTGTTAATTTTACAATTTAAAGGCCTACAATGGTCTGGGTGAAGCAGCATCGTTTGGAGTAGAGTTAAGAGTTTACGGACCAGTTTATCCTGGACCTGGAGAACAGCAGTTCTTAAGGTTATACTAAAAATAATAATAATAATAATAAATTTTATTGCTAAATATTGTTTATATAAATAAAATGGTTAAATAATAAAAACATATTTTACATATATACATATATTTTAAATTTTTTGCCAAATAATACTTTATTCTTGTTCATTTAGTAAATATAAATAGTTGTTTAGAACTTTAGATGCTTTATCCTGAACAAATACATGACAGTTTGAGAATCAGAATCAAAGAAAAGCAAACACACACAACGACCCTTTTTACATACTTTAATCATATGAATCATAGATTTTTTTGACATATTTCTTAAAAGTATTGTTAATTAAATTTTGCTTAAGTGTTAAACTGAGCTTTTTCCATGTTTTTAGAAGTGTACATAGTTCGGTTTGTCTCTGAAAAGATTTGTTTCAGAAAAATATTAGACTGAATAATTTAGATATGTTGTTGGAACACCCCTAGCACCAACTACAACAACAACCAGAAGACCAGGGTTTAGACCTACAAGACCTCAAGGTTATATTTTATATTTTTTTCAATTTATATTTTTTTTAATTTAGATGTTTTTTCAATTTAGATGTTATTTCAATTTAGAAGTTTTTTAGTTAAGATGTTTTTTCAATTTAGATTTTTTTAAATTTAGATGTTTTTAATTTAGATGTTTTTTCAATTTAGAAGTTTTTCAATTAGGATGTTTTTTCAATTTAAATATTTTATCAATTTTAGGTTATTTTTGTTTAAACTAATTGATGAATGTTTTGATTTCGTGAAATCATTTTCTTAAAAAACCTAGATTGGGATTATAACAGACGTCCTGAAAGCACAACACAAAGCCCCGAGAGACCAAGAGCTGGTTATATAACTGTGGATATCAAAATGCCTCAAAACAGGTAAAATCTTCTTGCTACAAGAGCTGTTCCCGTCCCCCTTTATATCCTATTCACAACTCTACAATTTAAACAATTATTTATCTAAGTAACAGTGTTTTCTAAATTTGAATTCTGTTTATTTATTTCATAGTCTCTCTTGCATAAATTCCATTACACAAGACATCCTAAAACACGAAATTACGTTTGTCAAGTCTTTTAAAACTTATAAAACTGATAAGGTTTGCACTGGACTCTAATGTACTGATACCGTGTGATGTAAACAGCTACAATAGACCAACTGTAAAGTGGATGAAGAACGGTCAACCACTCAGAGAAGATTCTAGAACATTGGTGAGCAAATAAAAAAACACATATTTTTCTTTAAACAAAAAGTAGGTTTTAAAGAAATCTTTATTAAAATATCTTCATAAAAATCATTTGGGATTAGGCTTTAAACCACTATAAGAAAAAACAATAAGTTTATTTCTTTATGTGACGAAAAATTGAAAGTCTTTTAAAGTACGAAATTCATAGATATTTTATAAAATGTACAAGCAAGGAAATTAACTTCACTATGTTTCTCCAAATCCAAAGGAATAAACTGTTTACTTGTTTCATTATTTTAAAACTTAAGGTTTTCTGCAAATTCACTTTTATTTCACGGTCTCTTTCGGTCATAAAGAATTGCATCTTTGCCACTAACTCAAATTTTCTCATCCCTATATCTTTGCAACCTAATGGCATAAACCTTTGATATTTCAAACTTATATTATTAGATCTAACAGAAATAATATAATTTGAAATATCTAGGATCTACGACATTGAATTTTAAAGATATATGGATAAATAAATCAAAGTTTGTGGCAAAGACTCAATTCCTTTATGACACTAAAGTATCAGCCCTGTATATGACCTTCTTAATGAGCTGCATTTGTACTATACATGGATTTACATAGACGAACAACTTTTCTACAAAATGGGCCGGCTCTCAAGAGAAGTGGTTGATATGCGTCTACATGGTTCAACCACTTCATGAAATCAATTAAATCTGATTGTTTACTAACTAGGTTCTACGAAACAACAACACCCTGGCTATCTACCATGCTGGTGGAGGGGATTCAGGCCGGTATACCTGTATGGCGAGTAATGGATACAACGATGCGGAGAAAAGTATAGATATCACTATTCAAGATGTTCAGGTATACAATTAATAATAATAGCACAAAAATTTTTTTGCCCCAAATCCTGATTTTCTGATCCGTACAATTTGCAACCCAAAGTCGTAAACCTCTAATATCTAAAAAACAAAGGTTTTTCACCATCAGGTTGAAAATATTGAAGGAATAGAAAATTTGAATTTTTGACATAGACTCAATTCTTCCGCCAAATTTCTCATACTTTAAATCTTGCAATTTTTAATTAAAAAGTTAAAACTGTCAAGTCGATAAAGCCAAAATTGCCTCTGATTACACAATAATAGTAAGGATGACTTAAATTTATTAATTGATTTTAAAATTATATTTAACTTATTCAGGTTGAAGAAAGTTGCACAGATAATCCTTATTTTGCAAACTGCAAGCTTATTGTCAAGGTAAGTGAATTTGCAACAATTAATGTAATTAAAAGTAAAAGCTTTATATGTTGTTTGAAGTATCGCTAAATTTAATTAAATGCATCAACAATAATTGTGCATCAATGCATCAAAACTAAATTTTTTAGGAGTGCATAAAAGACTTTTTTATTAGAGCTGGGAACTTAAGAGTGGTGGATATCGAGATTAATGGTTGATCTTCTGTTTTTCTTAATATCGAGACTAACCTAATCTTGTACTTGTATCCAAAAGTGTATAGAATTCAACGAATCAGAGTCGCGTATCAAAAGCCTGTAAATTAAAAATTTTGCGCGCCATTTAATATTTATATATACAGAAACGGGAGGGACTTCGACCCGCTAATTTTAAAAAACCGTTTTTTTTCTGTACTATATCCAAAAAATAGTGGACTAAGCAAGAAACATTTGATATTCGAATTAAGCAGTCGGGATTCAAGGCATCCCATTCTAAAGTTCCCAGAGCTGGGAGCTTTAGAATGGAGAATATCGGGATTAATACTTCAGCCACTCTTTTTCTTAATCTCCAGATTAAATAATGCCTGTTCTCCTTTTGTTATCAATCTCCAGATTAATTAATCGATCGGGATTAAGGAAATTCCATTCTAAAGTTTTCAGCTCAGCTCAGATTAAGGTTTCAAGGGTACCGTTAAAGGTAAATCGTGCAATTGTAAATCTTGTAAATTTTAGCAGGAACTTGTTGTTAGATTTGGTTTTTAAGAAGTAATTGGCAATATTCTCATATTTTGCTTGGGAGCTTGAGACCTTTAAATCAGTGTAAAACTTTTTAGAGGTCTATCAAAACTAAGTGATCGAGTCTATAGAGAATACAGTTTTTATTGAGCTGCCAGTTTCACATCTATCAATAAAATCTCGACTTCATGTATCTAGTTTTGATTGTCTAGGCGAGGTACTGCGGGAACAGATATTATGCTAAATTCTGCTGCAGAAGTTGTACTCTAGCAGGTAAAACAATATTGTTACAGAGTACACAGTACACCGTTTACAGTACAATTTTTTACATCTCAGTACTACACACAGTGCACAGTACTGAGTAAATATATTATATATTAATTGTTTTCCTTCTTTTTAGAATTTGGGAACCATGTACAAAATTAATGGACTATAAACTATTCGCGCTTTCCCCCCCCCCTCGTCCCCCCATACACTTTTTATTTAGTATTTAGTATATTTAGTATTATTTCTCAGATTATTATCTTTATCATTTTTATTTTAGGTCAAACGCCTTACTCCCCCTAATCCCCGAGGGTTGGCTGGAATAGGAAGATTTTAAAAAGATCAAAATATTTTTATAAAAACTTGATTTTTATATTAAAGATGTTTCGTAAACTGCATTTGAGCGTTCATCAAATGTTTTTCCATTTGTTTTATTGTTTAGTTTTAAGGTTTACTATGTTTAATTCATTTATGAAGCATTTATGAATTATTCATTTTCAAATTAGTATTAAGGGTAGTTTTTAAGGGACCTAGTTTTAAGAATATAACATCATTCAGAATGATTGTTTTTAGATTTTGTTTGTATCTATATTATACTGTATTTACTAACACATATTAGATTTAAGGGTTTAGATATGTAAGGCTCACTAATAATTTTTGATATCAATACTTCGCTTTAGTCTGTTTAATTTTCATTCCGTGTTTTATTTTCGTATCAAAAAGTTTATTGTCTACTGCCAAAGAAAATTTGTACAAATTTATTTTTTCAATTACTGTTTTGCATATTGCAAATTGAAGCAATCTCTTTTTTCAATTTAAGTAAATTTTTAAAATTTTACTACAAAATTTTTTTGTCTTCCCATGAACTCGATTCAATGAACCGAGTTTATACACTGGTGAACTGTAAAAGTCACTGCCATTAAACTTTCATGTGTTCATTCTTTAAAAAGAGAATATTCATCATTTATTTATATTCAACACATTTTCTGACCTCTATGCGCATTATCAAGAGTGTAAAAACGGGTTCATCCCTTTTTATAAATACTGGATATTCTCTTTAATGTTTAGTTTGTAACTAAACCAGATTGTAAAGGCAAGATTTTATTTTCTATTTTAAATTTAAAGTTCACTTTCCTTAGAAAGGAATACTTTCTGTATACTTGCCTTTACTATCTTGTTCTACAATATATCTGTGATACCTAGTATGTAAGGGATTTTAGTTTTAAGGAAATAAAATATTTTGAAATTGAAATTTTGTAGTGGACTGCATATTTACAGAGTACACTATCTTAGACTGGTTTCACAGAATTAAACATTTTTTTTTCGTGTAATTGTGGAGCTAATTATCAGACAGATGGAATCATAAAACTATGGAATAGTAAGACGACATATAAGCAAAATTATGTTCATTTGATGCTGCTATTAAGCAAACTTATTCAATGAAATGGATTTGTGTGAACTTAAGATGCTCCGTGTTTTATATTCCTGAGCCCACGATTTAAAAAATTCGGGAAAATATGGCTCGGGTTTAAGCTGTCGTTGGGCTTTATTTAAGGCTTGAGCTCTCTGATTCAAGCTGCATCTTATTCTCTACAGAGTTAATTTCAAAAAACCGGTTTAATATTCTATTTGGCGGATTTTCATGATAGGAATTGGCGCATTCTGGGTTCTTTAGAACAAGACTCAACATTAAACCTTATTCTCCACTAAAACCAACCAAGGTCGGTTTTATTTTCATTGAGCCTAACTCCTTAAATCGAGCCGAAGATCTTGCAGCTGTCAATCACGTGACATAAGCTGTCGTCAGAGTTGGGTTTAAGATTGGGTCTTAAAGTCGGGTTTAAGGAAATACGGCTCGAGTCGAAGTTTTTAAATCGCGACCTCTGAATATTATAAATTAAATCTAAAAGTCTATTTTCTGGGTCACACTGTTGTTTCTGCAAATAATTGTATAATTTATTAATATGCTTTTGGGGCATTTTTAGCAATTATTCTTTTTGCAACAAAGGACGGTATTTAGGAATATATCTATCAAACAATGAGGGGCTAAAAATGCTGTTTCAAAGACAATTTTTTGAAGTATTTTTGTGCTTTTATCGGGGTTTTCATGTTTTCCTTTTTTGTCTTGTTCTAGTCTTTTTATCTTGTTCTTATTCTTGTTATTGTTCTAGTTCTTGTCCAATTGTTCATTTTCTTGTTCTTATGTTTGTTCTTGATTTTATTCTTGTTCTGTTCTTATTCTTGTTCTTATTGTTGTTCTGTTCTTGTTCTTGTTCTTAATCTTGTTCTTATTCTTGTTCTTTTTCCTGCTCATATTCGTGTTCTTGTTCTTGTTCTTGGTCTTGTATTAGAACTGAAAGCTGGTGGAAAAACATCCAGTTGAACTGAAAAGAAGAAAAAAACTTGAAATACAAAAATATGAGAATAAAGTTAAAAGTTAAAACTTACCCCTGCTGGCGGCGGTATATAGGCTCCCTCTTTATATTTCTAATTTCAAAATAGTTTTCTTTAAATTTTTTTATTTTTATTTGTCCATTTAATTTAATCACATTTGAATCATATCTACAGATTGAGTTAAGTTGTTGAACTTGAATCTAATCTTGCCAGTTCGAATCCTCTCAAAGAACAACCAATCCAAACCCTCTGAATATAAATATATAAAATTCTAAATAGTTTTAAATTAAGAGCTTTTGTATAACAAATTGACTCTCCTCCCCAAATTACTTTTCAACAAAGTTTAAATTGATTTAAAACGACATTTATTCAATAATTGATATTTGCAGTTTTGATTGTTTGATGATTAAAGGTATATATTTGTATACCTATGTTGGGAGGTATGTACACACCGTCCTTATACTTCTAGAAAATAGTTGTTTTTATGCGAAATCAATCAATCAGTTAACAAGATGAAAAGGTTCAAATTTTCTTAATCACACTGCGTAAAAAAATAAACCTTTCTTGCATTGTAAACTATACTCTGCGTGTTTAACTTTACCTCTCATGTTTCAAAAACCACGCTGGAACTTAACTTTCTCTCTTTAGTAACTCACGCTGCGTAAGAATCAAAAACTTCCATATACTTTAAATCACACTGCGTAAGAAATTAAACCATTAATGTATTAAAGATCACGCTGCATAAGTAACTAAACCTTTCATATACTTTAAATCACGCTGAGTAAGAATATAAGCATTCCATGTCCATTTTAGAGCACACTGCGTAAAAAAAATCGTCAATGTACTAACTATCCCGCTGCGTAAGTAACTAAACCTTTCATGTACTATAAAGCACAACCTGCGAAAGAAGTTGTGTTAATAATCACGGTGCGTAATAAAGAAAAACTATTTCCCTGTGACATATGTTTGGATGGATCTCCAGTATGCCCACAGTTTATAGGTTGGGATCCACAACCATTGTAGTGAACAACCTATAAATAATAGATGATCTCCTCCAAGCTTATCCATGCTTGAAGTATTTTAGACAAAAAAAAACTTTCCAACCAAACAAAAAAAAACATAAAAAACTTAAAAATTTTAAAACTACTTTATCCTTGAAAATAACATTGACTGTTTTTCAAGATTTAAACATGCAATACTTATAAACTATTGAAGAATCCGATACAAAAAGTTTTTTATTATTTCAGATTAACTATTTTTTTCGTAGATTGTTTTAAAATCATTTCTATATTTACCTTTAAATTGTGAAATTTATCGCAGAAATGATAATCATCAAAGAAGTCTTTCTCGGGCCCTTCTCGCATATACTAAATATGATTTGTCCATGATTTTTATTAATTTATTTTTTTATACAGTGCCAGTTAAGCAAAGTTATTTATTAGAAGGTGAAACATTCTATTTTATTAAAATGTTCTTGTTTAAAGGAAGGGAGACGCAACAGATAGAAGTAAGATTAGTAGCAATCAAAAGCGCTTTTTTATCTCATTAGGCCTATACCCCCTTTCATTTTTCGCGAACACTCCTTTTAATGCCATCAAGTGGCACATGCAACTGTAAAGGGACTGTCTTTATCTAATCAGTAATGCAGAAGAAATCGTTGTTTTTATAGCTTTAAATGTGTTTAATTCTAACAATTTCCGCCATTGTTTATAAAGCAAATTGCGAAAGTCGATTAATAGAGAACACAGAATTAATAAGAAAAAATGTTCAAAGAAAAGATTATTGACAGTTCATGCATTCTTGATCTAAAGATACCGTAGTGAATTGGACATGCCGATCTTCCAATACTGGTTCACTTGAATCCAGTCCTTCAAATATTTCCTTTACCTCTAAAGTAGTCTGGGCGTTGTATGTACAGGGCAGTACATAAAAAAGATCTGGATTTGTGAATCCCAGATTTGTAAACCAATCTTGTTCCGCTAGAATAGATCTAGAATATAGAATATAGATTAGTAAACCAATCCTGTTCCGCTAGAATAGATCTAGAATATAGAATATAGATTAGTAAACTAATCCTGTTCAGCTGGAATAGATCTAGAATATAGAATATAGATTAGTAAACAAATCCTGTTCAGCTAGAATAGATCTAGAATATAGAATATAGATTAGTAAACCAATCCTGTTCAGCTAGAATAGATCTAGAATATAGAATATAGATTAGTAAACCAATCTTGTTCAGCTAGAATAGATCTAGAATATAGAATATAGATTAGTAAACCAATCCTGTTCCGCTAGAATAGATCTAGAATATAGAATATAGATTAGTAAACTAATCTTGTTCAGCTGGAATAGATCTAGAATATAGAATATAGATTAGTAAACCAATCCTGTTCAGCTAGAATAAATCTAGAATATAGAATATAGATTATTAAATGATTTGTTTGAAATTAAATTGATATTTTACAATCCAAGTTGAATCTTGCAACTTTCTGAATTTGTATGTACGCTTTGTTCTTCAGTATAAGTCGTTTTAACAATTTTCTCCTTATAGAAGCAATGAGTAGAAGTAAGATAAGTAGCGATCAAAAGCGATTATTTTTCGCCGTAAGCTTATACCCCCTTTGATTTTTTGCGAACACTCCCTTTAAAGGTAGACCAGCATCAACATGTTTTTGTTTTGTTACCTGTATCTGTACATTTTCATTAACTGCTTCATGTTTTCAGGTTCAAGATATCTATAATAACAAGTTTTTAGGTTTAACAACTTAAAAGATAAAAACTGTAAAAATTAATTTTTGAGTAAAAAAATAATTTACATTTTCGGATCTTATTTGAGATTATTTACGATATTTTGTTACCTGTTGAATATTTCATTGTTTCTCATTCTCTCCAGGTCATAGAGAACCATTCCACTGTTAAATCCCTAGATTATAGAACAGAGGTAATTGTTGATAATCTAGATTTGTCATGTCATGTCTCATGTCGGGGGACTTGGGATCCCTGACATAGTATTAACTAACCTGGATTGGACCTGGGTCCTTAACATGAAATATTACTTACGTGGAGTGTGGAACTGGGTCTCTAACATGAAATATTAACTAACCTGGACGATTAGGTACTTTCTCAAAGACATTTTTCCCAAGAGCAACTTGCCAAGTGACAATGTCCCAAGGGGCATCTTCCCAAAAATGTAATTTCCCGAAGGGCAACTTCTCAAAGATTAGGTTAGGCCCTCTGAGGCGCCGCAGGCTTCAATTGGGCCAAGCGCTGTGGCTAGGGGGCCGAGCGCCGCGGCTAGGACAGACGACTTAAGGAGTTGTCGCTTAGGAAATTGTATATTTGGAAAGGCGCCACTTGGGAAAAATTCTTTGGGAAAGTACCTAACATCAACCTGGGTCCCTTACATGAAATATTAACTAATCTGGAGTCGATACCTGGGTCCCTGACATGAAATATTAACTAACCTGAAGTGGACCTGGATTCCTGACATGAAATATTAACTAACCTGAAGTGGACCTGGATCCCTGAAATGAAATATTAACTAACCTGGAGTGGATCTGGATCCCTGACATGAAACATTAACTAACCTGAAGTGGATCTGGATCCCTGACATGAAACACTAACTAACTTGAAGTGGACCTGGATCTCCGACATGAAATATTAACTAATCTGAAGTGGGCAGCTGGGTCCCTTACATGAAATATTTACTAACCTGGAGTGGACCTGATCCCTGACATGAAATATTAACTGACCTGGAAGACTGGAGTGGACCTGGTTGCCTGATATGAAATATTAACTAACCTGGAGTAGACATGGGTCCCAGACATGAGCTATTAACTAACCTGGAATGGACCTGGGGCCCTGACATGAAATATTAACTAACCTGGAGTAGACCTGGGTCCCAGACTTGAAATTTTAACTAACCTGGAGAAGACCTGGGTCCCAGGCATAAAATATTAACTAACCTGGAGTTGACCTGGGTCCCAGACTTGAAATATTAACTAACCTGGAGTAGACCTGGGTCCCAGACTTGAAATATTAACTAACCTGGAGAAGACCTGGGTCCCAGACATAAAATATTAACTAACCTGGGTGTCCCAGACGTAAAATATTAACTAACCTGGAGCGGACCTGGGTCCCTGAGATAAAATATTAACTAGCCTGGAGAGGACATGGCTCCCAGGCAAAACATATTAACTAAACTGGATTGGACCTGGGTCCCTGATATGAATATTAACTAACCTGGAGTGGACCTGGATCTCCAACATGAAATATTAACTAACCTGGAGTGGACCTGGGTCCCAGATATGGAATATTAACTAACCTGGAGTGGACCTGGATCTCCGATATTAACTATTAACCAACCTGGAGTGGACCTGGGTCCCAGACATGAAATATTAACTAACCTGGAGTAGACATGGGTCCCAGACATGAAATATTAACTAACCTGGAGTAGACCTGGGCCCCAGACATGATATATTAACAAACCTGGAGTAAACCTGGGTCCCAGACATAAAATATTAACTAACCTGGAGAAGACCTGGGTCCCAGACATGAAAAATTAACTAACCTGGAGTAGACCTGGGTCTCCGACATGAAATATCAAGTAACCTGGAGTGGACCTGGGTCTCCGACAAGAAATATTTACCAACCTGGAGTAAACCTGGGTCCCAGACATGAAATATTAACCAACATGGAGTAATGCCTGGGTCCCAGAAATGAAATATTACCCAAGCTGGAGTGAACCTGGGTCTCCGACATGAAATATTAACCAACCTGGAGTGGACCTGGGTCTCCGACATGAAATATTAACCAACCTGGAGTGGACCTGGGTCCCAGACATGAAATATTAACCAACCTGGAGTGGACTTGGGTCCCGGACATGAAATATTAACCAACCTGGAGTGGACCTGGATTTCCGACATGAAATATGAACCAACCTGGAGTGGACCTGGATCTCCGAAATGAAATATTAACTAACCTGGAGTGGACCTGGATTTCCGACATGAAATATGAACCAACCTGGAGTGGACCTGGATCTCCGACATGAAATATTAACTAACCTGGAGTGGACCTGGGTCCCAGACATAAAAAATATTAACTAACCTGGAGTGGACCTGGATCTCCGACATGAACTATTAACCAACCTGGAATGGACCTGGGTCCCAGACATGAAATATTAACTAACCTGGAGTGGACCTGGATCTCCGACATGAAATATTAACTAACCTGGAGTGGAACTGGATCTCCGACATGAAATATTAACTAACCTGGAGTGGACCTTGGTCTCCGACATGAAATATTAACCAACCTGGAGTGAACCTGGGTCCCAAACATGAAATATTAACTAACCTGGAGTGGACCTGGGTCTCCGACATGAAATATTAACCAACCTGGAGTGAACCTGGGTCCCAAACATGAAATATTAACTAACCTGGAGTGGACCTGGGTCTCCAACATGAGTATCAGGATTCTCTTCTCTGTATATTTGAAGGTTGATTCTGAAAATTTGGGATCGGTATTTTGAAAAAGAACACGTAAAAAAACAAAAGAATTCATTAAGATAAAATTATTATTAGTAACACTTTTTAATATTTTCAGCAAATGCCATTATATTAACATCTTTTGCATATTAATCAAAATGTTAGGTCTCTAAGCTAAGCTGTAATTTAAAATTGATCTATTGTTAAACATTTTTATTGACCCACTGCCCTCGAAAAAAGACAAATTCTAAATAAGAAAATAAACCAGTACAAAGCTGATTTAAATTCATTGAATCTTTTAATTTGAAACGTTGTTAGGCTGCTGAGAATATTCTAATATGTCACTGTTCTACTATGTACATGTGCTATTAGATAGGTAAAGTGCCCATCGTTAATTTTGAAGGATTGATCTAGATATCCTTTGTAGACAATTTTAAATTTGAGGATTAGATTGATTGAATAAGATTAGTTAGTAGATCTTCAGAGGATGAAGATCTAAACTTGATCCCGAGATTTAAAACATAAAAGATCTGACTATTGAATATTTTTAGATATATAAAAAATTCATAACTCCAAACCATTACAAATTACGGAATTACAAATTACAGTAAATATAAATAATAATTACCTGTAATGTGGACTGAGGTCCAGGCCTATTCCAAGAATATTAAAGGATTTAAAATGATAGAATTGATCGTTGAGATCAGATATATCCGTCTTTATTTCTAAATATAAAACAATTTAAACACTAGTGATAACAAATATTTGATTAATTCAAAATAAAAGCGAGGAACCCCAAATTTTTTTTTTTACATTGGAACAATTTATGTATAAAGATGTGCCATTGAAAATGAAATTGGCAATTAATTCTTTAAAATTCTTTTCAAAAACACAAATATATTTATGTATAGTTTACCTGGTTACATTTTCTTAAATAATTTCTTTGATAGTAAACAATCAAAAATTATCTATCATTTAACAAAAACATTTTTGAAATTAAGAATTAAACTCAATAATGTTGAATGATAAAAAATATCTCTAATATTAATTTTTGAAACATACCTAAATCTTGACAATCTATAACAATCAACCTAAATTTAGAATAAATTATTTACAGATTGATAAAAAAGCTTTATGAAAAAAGTCCAAACACCCATTTATGATATGAATAAAAAAAACTTTAAAATAAGTCCAGAAAAATGTTTTTAAATGTTGAGGAAAAGGGTGTGCATCTTACTTTTGTAAAGATTTGAAGGCTAGGTGGTAGAGCGGGGCTATGAAGAAAAAAATAATAATAGTAATAAAACAATTATAATGATCTAATAGCGATAATACCTGTTTCGTTCAAACTTCGGAAAGAATTCACAAATTCTGGTTTCGCTTTTTTAATGTTTTGATAATCCACTAATTATTCGTTCATTCATAATTTTATCCTAACCCTTATTTGAAGAAGATTGTAGAAGAATTGTATTGAAAGATTATAGAAGAATTGTATTGAAAGATTGTAGAAGAATTGTATTGCAGGATTATAGAAGAATTGTATTGCAGGATTGTAGAAGAATTGTATTGCAGGATTGTAGAAGAATTGTATTGCAGGATTGTAGAAGAATTGTACTGCAGGATTGTAGAAGAATTGTAATGAAAGAGTTTAAAAGTATTGTTATGAATGAGTTTAAATGTATTGTTATGAATGATCTGATAAACCTAATGAGAAATATAAAGGGGGAACTCCAATTCTCTTCTTGTAAACATTCTAAACAAAAATATTTATTTTAAAAGAAAGATTCTGGGTTTGTAGAACGATATTTTATATGATCCGGCTTTACTCAGACTGAACACTTTCCCAATCCATATATCTTTGCAGCCTGACGCTTTAAACTATAAATCTTAAAATTTGTTTATTTCACCTCACAGAATTCATGGTTTCAAATACAGTCATCGTCGTATGCTTGAATACAACGAAGACGACTTTAGATTTAAATTTTGTATTCTACCAAGCTTTTAAGCAGCATGGATATAGGATACAAATAAACATAGAAACAAAGAGAAGCCGTCAATTAACAGCTTCTCTTGGTTTACGTGTAAACTTGAACTTTGAAAAAAGCTTGTTAGAAATCCAAACTTAAATAGAAAAGACGTCTTCATTGTATTGATATTATTGTTAACCACTGTATTCAAGGTTCACGTCTTCTGAGGTCGTATGTAGTATATATCATTCATCTTGTACACTTGATCTTGATATCAAATTTGAACACTTTTCATCTGTCGGATAATTGGTTTATACAAGAATTAATGTTATCCCTGCAGGGTATTCCCACCTCGGGATATCCCTGCAGGGTATACCCACCACGGGATATCCCTGCAGGGTATACCCACTACGGGTTATCGCTGCAGGGTATGCCCAACACGGGTTATCCCAGCAGGGTATACCCACTACGGGATATCCCTGCGGGGTTTGCTCACCACGGGTTACCCCATCAAGGTATGCCTACCACGGGTTATGTCTGCAGGGTTTACCCACCACGGGTTATCGCTGCAGGGTATGCCCACCACGGGTTATCCCTGCAGGGTATACCCACCACGGGTTATCGCTGCAGGGTATGCCCACCACGGATATCCCTGCAGGGTATACCTACCACGGTTTATCTCTGCAGGGTATACCCACCACGGGTTATCCCTGCAGGGTATACCCACCACGGGTTATCCCTGCAAGGTAAATCCGTAGTTCTAAATAAGAGATGAATGCTTAATAACTCCAGTAATTTATATTCCTTTTGACCATTTTTGTGAATTTTTCAGATATTTTTTCGTCGTTAAATCAGTTTTAAAATACACAATTGAAAAAAATATGAATTGATATATATTAACCTGTATTAAAGTGTATGAGATTAGTTTTGAAACTATTGACTGCATTAGAACCCCTGTCTGTTTTTTACTAAATTCATCAGTTACTAAAAAAAATATTGTAAAAATACGTTTAATGTCTTTTTAAATAAAAAAAAATATTTTAAATACGTTCAACATGAAAAAGCTCAATTTACTCTTCCAAGAAGTTTGATAGGAAATTTTATAGATATATAAAGTTTAGTTTAGTTTAGTTTAGTTTAGTTTAGTTTAGTTTAGTTTAGTTTAGTTTAGTTTAGTTTAGTTTAGTTTAGTTTAGTTTAGTTTAGTATTAAACTAACCAAAATGAGAGGATTTCTTAGGATTAACTATGATCATTCCAATATCAACAGCATTAGGCTTCGGACTGAAAGTAATATCAGAGATGAGATTTTTAAAGCTTAAACCCGAGTAAACCCAAACTCGGGCTTAGATAGAACCCAAGTCAGGATTGGTTCTGATTCGACCAATGAGAGACTATTTAGCAAGCCTTCTCTCTGTAGCAGACAGAATTTCGTAAGGTCAGCTGTGACAAGGAGATGTAAGTTCCAAAAATTCACAAATAATTTCCAAGATTTTAAATGTACAAATATAAAAAGATTTTATGAAATTTACGATCATCAGCTGCTGAATACTCGAGCCTGAAAGAGAGTAAAACCCAAGATGGTTGGTTCTTACTAAACTCAAGGCCATCCAAAACCAAGTCTTAACTTGAGCTTTACTTTGGTCTAAGCAGACGCAAAGACCGGGTTTTAGTCGGGTTTAAGCTTTTAAAATCTCATCTCTGATTAACATTTTTGTATGCAAATTATTAGTATTATGTCTTTTTAGGAAAAAATAAACAAATCAAGATCTAAAATTTATTATATCGACAATCCCAAGCCTGGTTAAATTTTGGTTTTACCTTGAATAAAGTACTTAAACACTATATTCTAAATGATTTAGATAAGATTAAGAAAGAGCAAAGGTACACTTAAATAGCAACATAAATGTAAGGGGAAATACATATTTATTATGTACAGCCACCTCTGAAGTCTTTTAATTTGTAGGTAATCCTGTATTGAATATTTGCGTCAGAAGCTCATATTGGAATAGTCGTCTCTGAAATTTATGGGTCACGAAAAAATGCGTCAGTCTGTTCTCTGTATATTACTAGTAGGTGTTTTTTTGAAATCTCATTCTTTATAGGTCGCCCTTTATTTACTAAAAATGCGTCAGAGTTTTATATTAGTAGGTGTCTTACAATCACATTCTTCATGGTTCACCCTGTATTTAGTAAAACTGCGTACCTGGCAACTAGTTCTGCAGGTGTAAGATGACCGCTAATCAAGTTTTCTAGCTTGTCAATATAATCACCCTTCGGTATATTCATCTTAGTTGTAGCATTTCTCTTCCTCACATAGAACTCCTTCACTTTACGATCATTGGTGATCTGGAGATTGTCTCCTTTCTGATCCTCGGCAATCCTACGATCACCTTCTCTTTGATACTCAGAATTTATTTTGTATTCTCCATTCACAATGATTTCACTCTGGAACTTTAAATCCTTCTCCCTCGTTCTCATCTCCGTCTCTTCATTCTCTTTCTCCTCCTTCTCCCTCGTTCTCATCTCCTTCTCTTCATTCTCCTCATTCTCCTCCTTTTTCCCCCACTTGCTATTTGTCTCAAGTATCATTTTGATATTAGATCTTGATTCTAAACTGGATTCTTCAAATTGAAAACTTCGTTTCTTAGAAAATGATTTTACAGCTCTTTTCTCAAACAATCTATAAGCAGTTTGCATTTACGAAAAAATCTTGAATCCAACTCAGTTTTTGACAAAATTGTTAATACTCAATTTTGCTGTCAAATTATCTTGATATGCTGCTAGACAAATATTCATTAATCCCCAAATGGGTTTTACAATAAATTAAGATAATTGTTTTTTGAATTGTTAAAATATTCGTAAAATTATTAAAATGCAAACGAACCTGACAAGATTTTTATTATTATTATCTTCATATTTAATTATCATCATATTTAATATGAATAAAAATGCTAAAATAAATGGCACTGTTTTGTGCATTCTTTGAATTCTGAACATTATTTCTAAAAGTATTAATTCATAAAAAAACGTCATGTTTAAAAAGAATTTTCAAGTCTTTTTTAATTCTTACTTGGAATATATTCATTAATACCTTTAATATAGATTTCAATACGCCAAAGAATATGAAAAGCATACCACGTTTTTTAGCCTATAACACCCCCCGGCCACCCATGAGTGCCCACAAAAAAATTCAGCCCAATCGGCCCAGTCGTTTGACCGGCTATACGCAACATACATATATACGAAATGTCTTGTTTTATTATATAGATTAATAACAACTTTATTTTAATTTTAAGCTTCAATATATTATTATATTAATAACAACTTTATTTTAATTTTAAGCTTCAATATATTATTATATTAATAACAACTTTATTTTAACTTTAAGCTTCAATATATTAATATATTAATAACAACTTTATTTTAACTTTAAGCTCCAATATATTAATATTAATAACAACTTTATTTTAACTTTAAGCTCCAATATATTAATATATTAATTTATTTTAACTTTAAGCTCCAATATATTAATATATTAATAACAACTTTATTTTAACTTTAGGCTCCAATATATTAATATATTAATAACAACTTTAACAAGCCACCAAAAGACTTTACTCATTGCTGAGGACTTAATACAACCTTGGAATCGTTATATTTTAAGAGTTTTAGGTCGTCTTTATAGTTTCATCCTTTTTGGTTAGCCTTGTACGCATTTGAACGGTCATTGGTGATTCTGGGTTTACATTTCTTATCAAAAAAAAAATTTGATTGAAAATAAATACGTCAAACCTATTTTTCTTAAATACTAATCACTGGAAAACGCTGGTACATATTTTTAATAAACATGGAAGACAATCAGACCAATCGGACAGCAATAAAATTCAGCTAGGTTCTCAGTTCACCGGATAATAAATGTGAAATGTATTCTAACTAAAGTATATTACAGGACTGTATGCTAGATGTATGTGTTTAGCGAACTTTTCATTTTTTGTTTGTCATCTTTAAAGTTTCCTTAGTTATACACTTTCACTCTGATTGTCGTTAAACATTTTTTTAAAATACTCAAATATTACAAATTACGTTTGCTTTCCGTCCTGAGTCATTTACACGATAGATGGATAGATAGAAAGAAAGATGGAAAGATAGAAAGATAGATGGATAGATAGAAAGACGGATGGAAAGATAGAAAGATAGATGGATAGATAGAAAGATGGATGGAAAGATAGAAAGATAGATGGATAGATAGAAAGGTGGATGGAAAGATAGATAGAAAGATCGATTGATAGGAAGAAAGACCGATGAAAGGATAGAAAGATAGATGTAGTGGAGATAAAAAAAAACTAGTATTAGTAATTGATACAAAAAATATATTGATTTAAAGGATGTCATAATATCAAACATGTTTTTGCATATATATATTAGATTATTTACTTCAGTGCTCATATTTATACAAAATTGATACATTTTTTCATATTAGTCTGGATCTATGCAAGCAATCCAATATTTATAAATTTATATTTTTTAACCTTTTTTGGCGCGCAGAGAGAAAAAGAGAGAGAGAGAGAGCTAGTAGTATTGAAAGCATCTGTTTACGCATATTAGCGGTCAGTTCGTTCTATTATCTTGACGCTAGCTGCGCCTCCTATATCAAGGCTTGTGGATATACTAGGTGGGAGATATATTTATTAAACTTTTTTCAATCCAAAAGTAATTTTTAATGTTGCATTTTCCTTCTTTTTATATATAATTATATATATTTAAATCTGTTCTCCCAGTATATGAGACCAGAGGGATGTTCTTCAATTGTACGAAATGACACTAATCAAACGCCTCTGTGACAAATAAAATTTATGATGTGAACGAAAAAAAGCATGATTGTGATTGTGAATCAATATTGGCAACATATTGGACATGCAAAACGAACATTTCTCCTACTACTTTGACGAGAATAACGATATAAAACGAATCATGAACGATATTGACATAATGCTTTACAGCGTTATTAGGTAATTTTTATCTTTTTTATCTACATGTAAACAATACTATTTCTATAGATCTATATGTATATATTTTAGAAATTATTAGGCTTATTTTGGGACATCGCTAAATAGCAACAAATTTTTTTTTATTTTCAAAAAAAACATGATGATATCGATCTAATTTTATTTCAATGAGCTGGCCTGGAAAAATTTGGCTATGAACATGCATTTAAACCCTATACATATTCGCTAAGGCCTTTTTCCAAGGTCTAAGGGGGGACGTAGGACGCCCCCCCCCCCTTCTATACAGAGATTCAGAACCCCCCCCCCGAGTCTATACCTTCTAGCGTTTATAGGGTTAAACATAAACAACAATCTAAAGGATGAATTTAGTTTCTGTCTCAAATATTGTCTCAACCTTTGTGGGTATTGTGGTATTGTCATAAACACACAGTAATTATAAGAAAAATTCAAAATATTAAAATTATAAATTAAACAGTACTGTAAATTCATTTTTATACACACCTAAAGTTGAGAGCAATGGTGTTGCATTTTTCTTCAAACTTGGTTTTTTCCCCTTATATATCTCCTTCTTTAAAATGGTTTGAGCAATTGCAACTTGAGGAATATACTTTGGAGTCTCCCAACATTAAAAGGTCTAGCGATGCACAATTTTTTGGTATTTTGAAAAAACTCACATTTTTACAAGAAGATTTGTTTTTATACTTTATCACTTTGCAATATGTAGTCCTACTTTTATTAAAATAAACAAACAACTGAACTTGAATGTACTGCAGTATACAATCCTGTGTTTACAATCCATATTAAGTGCCTATCTAATATTCAAATATCTACATTAAACCCCCCCTTAGAAATACGATCACTCTAAATACAAGTGCACAGTGTTATATCGTGATGTATACAACCGACCACTCTATTAATTAATTAATAAGGAAGTTGGTTGTGTACATCTGAGCTTCACCTCTTCGTTTTATTACTCTATGGATACTCTTCTAAATTTCGGGCTCTGAAGTTTCCTTTTCTTGGGGTTACCTTGAATTACAAAACTTATCTCTGTACAGTATACATTATACAATACATATTGGAATCAGGTGTTTTAAAAATAAGTCTCTTTTTCTTCAGTTTTTTGGTGATGAATGTTCAGTTTTTCATCCGCCAGCTTAAATTTGCAAATATAAAGGTAATAAAAAACACATCAAAAAAGATTTATTAAACATTATTTTTTTATTCTTTGTTAGATTACTAGGTGGATAAAAGAGCTAGTTACCTCCTATACTGAATATGAGGCAGAACGATTGCAGGTATATATGCTATCCACACTCAACTGATCAGAAGGTCAAATATATGCGACAATTCTGGTACAAATTGCTGACCAAACCAAACCTCTATAGAGTAAAAAAAAATAAATGTTAGTTCCACAATTATTGAAAATAATATTTTTATAATATTTTAAAAATGTTTTAAGAGCATCAGAATATGCGTGTGGAAATCTGGAAATCTTATAATTACTAGATATTAGATAACTTTGGTCCTAACATAACCTTGCAACAATAGTAAAACTTGTAACTAGAACATAATTTCTATTTTATATGTTTTTAGTACATATTCATTCTGTATGAAGTGGAGAGATGTTATAATTTGAAGATCTAATATGAACATAACTTTCAAATGTTTTTATCTGCAAAGGGAAAAAGTGCAAAAAGAGGACAAGATTGCCAATGTCATAAAGTGATCTTGAAATTCAAATGTTTCTTTTTTGCGAGATTTTAAACTTTATATATTTTTGTGACGCTTTTTATATTTTAGATCGATTGTCCCAATAGCTGTATGTTGATGTACTTCGAACGTGAATGAAAAAAAAGAAAATAAGTGTTTGCCGCAATTTCAAAATTTCTAATCTCTTTATCTTTAAAACCGGATCTTGTAGACCTTATATATTTCAAACTTAACCTAGTATATATACCAGAATTCATACTGAAGGTGTATGGCATCGGGTTGCAAAAATAAAGGGATTAAAGGATTAGAAATTGTGTCCAAAATTGAATTACAACGTTTGAATTTTGTATTTCTTAAAGAACTACTCAGAACCAATTTTTTAATTTGGCTTAAAAAGTTTCATTTTTCAGTTTGATTGAGAATATGATTTTACAATTGATTGAATAATTTTTTAGTTTATTTATTGATTGCAGTATATCCTATACTCTGTATCTATTAATATTTAAAGAGGTAGTTGAACTAGGTACAGCTGGTAAAAGAGGTAGTTGAACTAGGTACAGCTGGTAAAGAGGTAGTTGAACTAGGTACAGCTGGTAAAGAGGTAGTTGAACTAGGTACAGCTGGTAAAAGAGGTAGTCGAACTAGGTACAGCTGGTAAAAGTTCTAGTTTAAGTTGAGATGAACAGTGCACTGTAAACTTCATTTCAATTACCGGTCCGACATTTAATCAACTAGAGTAGGCTGTACTGTACAAATAAGGCAAAACGGGACAGTTCATTAAATTGATGATCTACTTCTAGCATAATTTATGTAAGTTCTGGAGTAAGTAAAGGAACCTAGTTTAACTCTTATTTTTTTCTATAAAATCATGTTTAAAACATTTTTTAAAGATTGTACGTTTGATTCACTCTGATTATCTAAAACTTAAACGTATAACCCTAAATATTGACTCTAAATTGAACAGTTCAGCTTTAATCAAGGTTATTATTCTGGGTTTGTTTCCAACCATATTAGGAACACAATTATACAGGACTCACAATACATTTACCATCAACTAAACATTACACATCCGGGGACCAGTAGTAGTTTATTTACGTAGACGTAGTTCAACCACTGGTTTAAAAGTTTGCTCAGATTAGTCTCCTGAGTTCAACTTCTTCTTTCTATTCATTAAACTCATGGTCTCAGGGTCTAATAAAAAGTTCAACTGATTAAGTTTTATCTATATTATTTCCTAGTTCTTCCAAAATTGTCATACTATTTGAAGTAACCATTTTACTTTTCAAAGAACCACCTGAAAGACGAAATCATTCTGAGTTCCGAATGATTAGATATATATTCAAAGAGAAAGAAATATCGTGAAAATCAGAAAATAAAAATGTAAGATTAAGAAAATCTTCGACGGTAAACGGAATCTACATTAACAACAATAGACTTCCAAGCTGTTTCAAACAAGACTATACTTTTCATTTTTCAATCATCAATTCCCAGGCGACAAAAAAATAACGTTCGGGAACCTTATTTATATTTAATTAAAATCAGTTTCAATCAAAACTATTATTTTAATAAATGAATTGAGTCTTTGCATTGTCGCAAACTCTGATTTACACCCTCAGGTTGAAAAGATATGAGAATTAACAATTTTGGGTTTGGGGCAAAGACTAAAATCTTTTCTTTTTAGGTTTGCTATTTCTGCAGTGTTGACTTGGGAGATGAGAAAACTAGGTAAAGATAAACATAATGGATTTCAGAAATTCCAATACCACACTCCTGTATGCCGAGTCCATTAGCGCCTGATCCAATCAGGGTTCAGTCATGTGTTTGTTGTCTATTCTGAACCAATAGAAATAGTATGGCGGTAACATTTATCTTTCTATCTATCTCATTATCCAATTAGAGTTATGAATCCTTCAAATGGCGCTACCAGTAAATGGAAATATTTACTTCTACTGAAACTATAGTGACCAGTACATCATGCTCTGTAGTCTGTACAGAGCACTATTTATATTGCATATTATAGAGCGATTCTCCGTCTTCTTAAATGTTCTTCTTTAACTAGAAAATTAAAGAACTTAATTGAAAATGTGTTCAGGGTTAAACCTTCTTTAACTTCATGGCTCGGTCAATTATTTTACTAACCCCACCCCGCCTGTTTACACCTTGTAAAAGGGGTGCTTGCACAGAAGAAGAAGAATATTTGAATTATTCTCTTTTTTATTTATTTTGATATGAATATTCTGTATGTGTATTGTGTACACTAGATGACCAAGTAATTTATTTCCTGTCCTATACTTGTTTATATATCTGCTGCACATGTGTTTTTTTAGGATTACACTCTACTGCTCTATGTTTAGTTTTATCAGAACTGAAAAAAAATTAAAATTCGAAAATTGTCGGAGAGGAAGTCCCCCTTGCTTGCATCCAACTCAATATAACTTATTAAAACTCTAGCCACCCTCCTCATCCACCCCCCTCACCCACACACAACAAAAGTGTGTAAATTCTGAATAGAAAACTCATAGCACATATTCTAAGCCTCCAACCCCCCCCCCAAAAAAAAAAAATAGATATGTATACCAAATATCTTACTCCAACTCGCTCTAGAACTCAAGGTTCCTCAATAATACTTCAGTCTGTATCAATCCAGATACAAAGTTATATGTATTCCTTTATGTAATATTACAATTGCACCTCTGGACTTTGAAGAAGGGGGGGGGGGGTGAAAAATAAGTTTTGTTTATTTTCGGTTAAATGTAAAAAAAGGCAACTGTTATAACTGGCAATTGACGGCACAGGAAGACTAGAAAAAATTCTCCGGAAATATCTAAAATTTAAACTTTTTATTAAATCAAATATTCAGAAATCCCTAAACTGTATTCTTTAATCGTTATATTCTATTAAAAACTTTACAAAGCACAATATTACGTCATATTTTCACATACCTATCTTCCTATCTACCCTTATATCTATCTATCTATCCGTGCTTCAACAATGCAGTAAGGCTTGGTCTACCTCAGTGCTTACACTGCCTGAGGATAAGCCTGTGTTTAGTGCCTGAATTAAATTAATATAAAGTTATAAACATTTCAATGCAATCATGTGTTAAAAAACTTTCTAAATGTTTTTTTCTATTTTTCCCCTTTCAACTTTCATCTTCATTTTTCATTTTTTCTTCCAGGCATTTCATACTTTTTATAAAATTCATTACTTTTTTACTTTTTATAGATTTCCTTCTGTCATTATTTCTCTTTTTTTACGTTTTTATTAATTTACTTTAATGATTACAACTTCCATCGCAATCTTTCACACAAAAATTTACCAGCCTTTAGAAAATTTCTCCTTTTAAACTACCCATATAGCATGTACATTGTACATGCTTAGGGCTACCAATTGAGTTTTAATACGTTGATAAAGTAACTTCAAAGTCCAAGAGTTTGTGACACTTCAAAGTTGACCCAGTCTCAAAAATTGAAATTTTTCACCTAAAAATATTCCACGCATTTTTAACTTCACTTAATTTAGTTTAAGTTTTTATTTAGAACCTTCTATTTAATATCAGTGTTTGTTTATTTACATTTCGGAGTAAACAAACTATAAAAGACGGAAAAAACGTTATAAAGACTCACTAAAACGGCGGAGTGATAAATGTTTAAACAGCTGTGACGCATGCATGCGAAAGTTAAATTTACTGTAAGATTTCTAAAAGTAAAAGTAATACATATTAAAAGATAATTGCAAGTTTGAATGTAATTACAAACACCACATTATTTTGTGCTATGATTGGCAAATTAAAGCGTTTTTCATAAACCAAGCCAAGAATAAGAATTTTTTGCACCGCGCGCCCTGTTAATCGGAAAGATCAAATATAAACAAATTTACAAAAAAAAGTTCTTTGTAAATATGAATCATCAGAACTATGTTTAGTATATACTACGCACCCAGTGTACACAGCTGTTATCATAAAGGGTGTCCCAAAAACATGGGAATTCAGTGACGAATTCGATATCGTCTTTATAAATGATTCTTTGATTTAGTAAGTGATACCTACTGAAAAAGCTATAATCTCACAGTGGACTAAGCCAGTGTGGTCGGTCAAATAGGCATAGGATTAGCCCGGGTACTGTAAAAAGTCTGAACGCGCCATGGGACTATGCCAAGAAAATTGACCCCTGTCGTATGTTAGTCTGGTTAGGGCGACGTCAAGAATGTAAGGCAAGGAAAGTCAATTGCGGTTGTGTATACTCTGTGTACATATTGAAACCAGTTCTCTCTGGGCGGAATTTGTAAACAATAATAGATGCATCAGGGTTCGTTTAGTATCCGAGGAGGTTAAAAGCATTAAATTTTGATAATTTTGATAATTCACATAATAGTTTCCTATGACCAGAATATTTCATTGATTTTTTATGTGAATGATGAATCCCATGTCAGGCTTCGACATCCGTCTTGTGTTTACATCAGCGCCCAGAGACAGTACACTGCAGTACTAAAGATGTGTACACTTCTGAAATGACTTTCCTTGCCTTACATCCTTGGGGTCAGTACACGCTGTTATCTGGCAGGCCGGTACAAACTGGGCAGGTCCTGTTCGAATTCAAATTTACACGGGGATAGAGTGATCTGTAAGAGTTTGTTTATGTTTTGACTGCATACGGTTGTACTTAGTAAAACAAGAAAATTACAGTATACAAGCAGAGTAAACTTGTCCGTCTTCGCTGTTCATCTTGCGGAGACATTATAGACACATCTTTACAGTCTTTTACCCTTTTCATAAAATAAACTCTAGCAGACATAATAATATTATGGCTTTCAAAATTAGGTATTACAATGCTAATTCATAACAAAGGCGATATCGAATTCGTCACTGAATTCCCATGTTTTTTTGGGACACCCTGTACGTAAAGATGTTTTATACATATTAGTTAAAACTTTGATGTAAATCGAACAATTTACATTTTATGTACATCGAACAATTTACATTTTATGTACATCGTAAAAGTTTCTATGTACAATATACCAGGAGAGGATTATATTTTACACAAAAATCATCAAACAATAAATAGTAACATGACCAATTTACTCCAAAAATACAAAATGTAATTCCCCGTACATATTTAATACAAAATCAGTGGATAAATTGTGAATCTGATTTCAAATTTACTAAAATACAGACAAACATGGTTTATACCCACAAAGGATTAGTGTTTATAAAGCCTTTGTACTTACATTCAAGGTTTAGGAAACCATTGAAACATTTTTTTCTTTGTAAAATCAATTCGTATGTCATAAAAAAACTTTGTTTAAGGTAAAACCCAAATGTTTGTGTTTAAAGCGTCTCATCCTGTGAGGGTAACCCTGTATGTTATATTGGATTTTTTTTCGGGACTAAACTGAAAATTTACAAAGATAGAATCATTAAAAACTTGAATCTTTAACAATTAGCACGTAGATAATATGGTTATTAAGTATAAAATGGTTATTTTGTTCGTATTTTGGCATTAAAGCTTGGAGATAATCCAATGTGATATGGGCTGCTCTGTATGTGTTCGAATACCGGTCTAAATTTACCTAACTTGCAAGCTGTACCCCTTTTTAAAATGGCCAAACACTCCCTTTTACCTTTCGAATTAAAATCTGCTTCATGAATAATGAATACATGGTTAAGCTTATATATCCTGTACAAATGCTGAGCTAGACTATATATATCTATATATATATGTATATATTATATAGCTATNCTAAAGATAACAAGAAGGTGTCTCTCTGATACCTACATTTCCTCAACCCTCTTAGACCCTTCCGCGACCATCCGCCCTTTCTGATTTTAAGAAATTGAAAATTATTATTGTTAAATACTTAGGTGTTCTTTTGTGTAATTATTTCTTCTTTATGATTATCAAGATAAAAGACTTGATTTTGTTTCTGTCTTACAGGCGCGTTTAAGATACGACAATATTTTATACTTAGTCAGTTAAAGCGTTAGTTTTGGAAACCCTTCACTTACAAACACATAGTTCTTCTTCTTCTTCTTCTTTTTATTAATATATTAAAATATAATTAATATTAGAGTTTGTCCTTAAAACATTGTCCGTTTAAAGTGAATATTTATTTAAATCTAAAGTTGTTTTAGATGCAATGATAATTACTTCTTTTTATTAATATATTAAAATATAATTAATATTACTATTTTTCTTTTATTACTTATTTATTATCATTATTCAAAAATACTTTTGTCTGCCTCTTAGACATAATTGAAAAACTTAGACGTTTGTAAGAGCGTAAGTACTCATTTTAATCCCGTATATGATTATATTCGCGAGAAAAAAAGAAAAAAAAATTGTGTATTCTTAGAAGGAAAAAATGTATAAAGAATTTCATTAAGAATTAAAAAAGAAAGAACATGTGTTTACAAAAAATTTTCACAGAAAATTTCTTTTTAAAGGTTTTAAAAGCTAGAAAAAGAACAATTCTAATGAAGTGACAACGGGTGTTTTCTGAACAATAATTCATTATTTTTTTATCTTTTCTGGATCTTTCACACAATTACCTCCGAGTAAATGAACTTTAAAACTTTCCCTGCATAACTTCACAAGTTTAAATTCTATTTTATTTATGTATTTCAAGTTTTAAAAATATAATGTGTTAGTGTAGTTTCAAATAAGTTGATGAACTATCATAAATATTCAGTTTTGTCTAAACAATTAAATGTTTAGTTCTTAACACAA